AAAATGAAAATAGTAGGTTTGTGACGTTTCGAAGTCACCCGCACAAAGAAAAGAGGATTAGACTCTCTTCTATCTTTAAATCCCCTTCCCAGAATAGAGAAGAAGAAGAAGAAAGATATATACACTCCATTAATACTATACACATACACATCTCTCTCTCTCTCTCTCTCCTTGTGTATATATATAACATTCCAAAACAATCATTTAATCCAAACCCAAAAATATCCTCTTTTAACAGAATTTTTATTTCAGTGGAATCTTCTCTTCTTCTTCTTCTTCTGTAAAGATAATCAAAAGAAAAAATGGGATTGAATTTTAGAGATAAATCCTGGATTCTTCTTCTTCTTGGGATTCTTTGTTGTTCATCATTGATTTGTATAGTTGAAGCATCAGTTTCTTATGATCGCAAAGCTGTGATCATCAATGGACAAAGAAGAATCCTTCTCTCTGGTTCCATTCACTATCCAAGAAGCACCCCTGAGGTAATCATAAAATCTTTTTACTCACATTTTTATAATTCAATGTTTATAAAATTTTGATGATTTGGAGTTTTTTTTGTTGTTGTTATATAACTCCTGATTAAAGTTTTCATATTTTTCTCTCTGTTTTCTGAAATTGGTTGGCTTAGTTTGAGGTTCTGTAATGTGTTTCATTTCCAAGCTTTTTTCCTTCACATGGGTTTTGCTTATTATCTACATAATATGTCCAAAAAATATTGTTTTTAAATATTGAAACAAATGGTTTTAAAAAATTCACAAGAAATTAATTGATTCATTGAATGCTCTGTGTTTTGTGTGTGTAGATGTGGCCTGGCCTTATACAGAAAGCCAAAGAAGGAGGCTTGGATGTTATTGAGACTTATGTTTTTTGGAATGGCCATGAACCTTCTCCTGGACAAGTTAATATCTTTTTTTTTATTTGATTTTCTTCAATCACAAGTCAACATCTCTTCTAACTTTATTATTACTTTTCTTTCTAGTATTATTTTGGAGACAGGTATGATTTGGTTAAGTTCATCAAGTTGGCTCACCAAGCTGGTCTCTATGTTAATCTCAGAATTGGCCCTTATGTTTGTGCTGAATGGAACTTCGGGTAAACAATATAACAAACTCACTAATTCCCTCCTTTATTTGAACAATTAAAATGATTGGTTATCAAATTTCCTCTTTCAAAAAATATATTTTTTTTGATGGTTTTGTAGGGGATTTCCGGTTTGGCTCAAATTTGTTCCCGGTATGGCTTTTAGGACCGATAACGAACCTTTCAAGGTTTGAAACTCTCTAAACAAAAACTCACTTTTTCCCTCTCATAGTATTAGTGTTTTTTTTTGTCATACTCTGATTGGATGATTTTGGTATTAATTATATATATAATTGATCTTTTTTTTTTTGAAAAGGCTGCAATGAAGAAATTTACTGAAAAGATTGTATGGATGATGAAAGCAGAAAAGTTGTTTCAAACTCAAGGAGGACCAATCATTCTTGCACAGGTTTGTTACATTCAAATATCATAATTAGTCAATGATTTAAAGATATACTTATATGGCTCAAATTACAAGCTTTTATTCTACATATTAATACATATAACAAAAAAATTGGACAGATTGAGAATGAGTATGGTCCAGTGGAATGGAGTATAGGAGCACCAGGAAAGGCTTATACGAAATGGGTAGCTCAAATGGCATTAGGACTCTCCACAGGTGTTCCATGGATTATGTGCAAGCAAGAAGATGCTCCTTCTCCTATCGTACGTTTTTTTCATTTCACTTTCTTTCTAATCTTATATATATTTGGCTAAACTACAATATATAAAACTTTAAAAAATGTTTTTGTTTCGCTACAGAAAAAGTCACAAGTTTTTGCTTTTTGATCTTAAAAGTAGCAAGTACCAAACCGGGTTTTGACTTTTGGAGGTTTTCTTCGATAGCCGTTGACTCGGGTTTATAACTTACCAAAATATATGATCAACCTAATGTAATCTCTTTAAATGGTTTTGAGTTTTTATGTTCTTGATGGTTGGAATTTAGTTTCGGGTTTTTGAAATCATTTAAACCATAATTTGGATCCATTACGTCTAGATCAGTTAGATTTTTTACCATTGCTTGTGAATTCTCTTTAATTCCTCTCTTTTTCCCCTTTGATTATTTTTACTGATGTAAGAAATGAAAACTACAGATAGACACATGCAATGGCTATTACTGTGAGGATTTCAAACCAAACTCAAGTAATAAGCCGAAGATGTGGACTGAGAATTGGACTGGTTGGTAAGTCACTATATCAATTTGCCTAGAAAATCATTTCAATACAAATTATAGATTATATTTAACTTTCAAGACAAGGAAACCACTGTTTGAAATCTGTAAATTAAAATCTCAGGTACACAGAGTTTGGAGGTGCTGTACCGTATAGACCAGTAGAAGATATTGCATACTCTGTTGTACGATTCATAGCAAAAGGAGGTTCCTTCGTCAACTACTATATGGTAAGTAATATAAAACAGAGTTACATAATAAACATATGTATCCGTTGCACGACTTGGCTTAATAATGTGTGTTTGTTTATATATCTTTTTATAGTATCATGGAGGTACAAATTTCGACAGAACAGCCGGTGAGTTCATGGCTTCAAGCTATGACTACGACGCTCCTCTTGATGAATACGGTAACTAACCAAAACTTTAAAAACAAAAGACAAGAAAATATTTCTGAATGATTAATTAATCTAATTATGTTTACTTCAAATAGGCTTACCAAAAGAACCAAAGTACAGTCATTTGAAAGCATTGCATAAAGTCATCAAACTCAGTGAGCCAGCTTTGGTTTCTGCTGATGCTACTGTCACATATCTTGGAGCTAAACAAGAAGTAAAGATCAAAGCTTATTTAAACTTGTAGTTATGTTAGATTTCAAATGAGAAAGGAACCTTATGATTTTGACTGTTGATTTCAGGCTCATGTGTACTGGTCTAAGTCGTCTTGTGCTGCGTTTTTATCAAACAAAGATGAGAACTCTGCTGCGAGAGTTATGTTCCGTGGATTCCCATATGATTTACCTCCTTGGTCAGTTAGTATTTTACCTGATTGCAAAACAGAGTTTTACAACACTGCAAAGGTAAGACAGAAAAAAAGAAACTTATTTGTCAAGGATGCTTCCTTCTTGATCTTTAGATTGAATTGACCATCTGTATTTTTTTGTATAAACAGGTTAAGTCACCAGGCATACACAGGAATATGGTTTCTACTGGTACCAGATTCTCTTGGGGATCATACAACGAAGGTACACCTTCTGCGAATGAAGCTGGTACGTTTGCAAGAAATGGACTTGTGGAACAGATAAGCATGACTTGGGACAAATCTGACTATTTCTGGTATCTAACAGAGTAAGTATCATAACATCAAAACTCTCTTTGTGTCTGTTTTAGTCTTTGAAATGATACTCAGGCTTTGTTTGTTTTTGTGGTTATATTTTACTCAGCATTACAATTGGTGCTGGTGAGAGGTTTCTGAAGACTGGTGATTTCCCGCTGCTTACCGCTATGTCAGCTGGACATGCTCTTCATGTGTTTGTCAATGGGCAGCTTGCAGGTAATATAAGAGCAACAATAGACGCTTCTCTTGTCTTGTCTCGTGTTGTTTAGTTTTGTAACTTGACAGCATTTCTCTGTTTTCAGGAAATGTTTATGGAGGCCTTGAGCACACAAAAGTAACATTTAGCCAGAAGATCAAACTACATGCAGGTGTCAACAAGCTTGCTCTGTTGAGTGTTGCAGTGGGTCTCCCGGTTAGTTCCTGATGATATACTCCAGCTCCCTTTATAAACCAGTATTAGTGCCAAGAAGACAATTAGGTTCTGAGCTTTTGTGATTCTTGGTTTTCTTGCAGAACGTTGGTACGCATTTTGAACAGTGGAACAAAGGAGTTCTTGGTCCGGTTACACTGAAGGGAGTTAACTCCGGAACATGGGACATGTCGAAATGGAGATGGTCCTATAAGGTTCTTCCTGAAAAATCAAAACCAACTTTAAGTTTGAGTTTCCTAGCAACAATAACGAACCAATCATAATAATGGATTTGAATTTTATCTGAACAGATTGGTGTAAAGGGTGAAGCTTTAAGTCTTCATACCAACACAGAGAGTTCCTCTGTAAGCTGGAGTCAAGGATCATTTGTGGTAAAGAAGCAACCATTGACCTGGTACAAGGTAAGAGAAACAAACACAACTACGCAAAGGATTAATATCATATCTAGATTTGACACAATAAAAAACTGAAAAAGAACCATTCTTCTGTTTGGTTGCAGTCTACTTTTGCCACACCAGCAGGAAATGAACCATTGGCTCTAGACATGAACACAATGGGGAAAGGTCAAGTTTGGATAAATGGTAGAAACATTGGACGTCACTGGCCGGCATATAAAGCTCAAGGATCTTGCGGACGTTGTAACTATGCTGGAACTTACGACGCAAAGAAATGTTTGAGTGATTGTGGTGAAGCTTCACAAAGATGGTACCATGTACCTCGTTCTTGGCTAAAGTCTCAGAACCTTATAGTTGTGTTTGAAGAGTGGGGTGGTGATCCTAATGGAATCTCACTGGTGAAAAGAACATGAAAAAAGCTTCTTCTGATTCCGAGTTTTCAGGACAGAACAAAGCTTGTTTGTCTACCTCTCTCTGGCTTTGCTTTGAAGATAGAGACAGAGCTGGAAAAAAAAAAAAAAGAATAACATGAATTTGTGCAGTTATTACAAGAATTATACAACCTGTATATGTATATTACTACTACTGGTCATCAATGACTAAATAAATTTCACAGAAATAATACAAATGAGTGTTTTGATTTTGGCTTTGTTCAATCGTCTTCTGAAGTTGATGAACCTACAGCTATATCTTGAATCCTTGATCTTCCGATCTAATGCTTATTGGGCCTTCAACAAGGCCTAATTAGATATCCATTAGCTGATTGAAAACGTACGTTAGATGATAATAACATGTAAAAACTCTAGGGATTGATCTGTAAATAAAGCATTCTTACTTTCACGAGGGTTAATAGTTTCCGTATTTACAAAATAGCCCATGAACCCTAGGAGCATTTAGTACTGAATTACTAAAATGGTCACATTAAACCACTTAACTACTAACTAGGCCTATTCTTCTACTACCATATTTACTACTATTATTAACAACAAACGTGTAAATCATTTCCACCTTTTCCCCCATAATTACCCTCCCGGAAATGACCAAACTACCCCCAAATAGCTTTGCTTTTTCCCAAAATACGACAAACCGGTCAAACACAGTCTTCATTCGCCTAGAAACCTCGCCAGCAAATCGTCGTTCCACTCACACTCACTCGCTCTCTCCTCGTTTGTGCTCCACGCGCCGCCGTATTCGAAACAGCAACCGAATAGACCACTGGCGTCTACGCTCGCCATGGCGGAAGCGTCACTGTCCGAAAACGAAGGTCCACAGCTCTCTTCGTTGACGTTGATCGTGATGTAACCGGAAGATGACTGAACAACCACCGGGATCGCGTAAGGATCGTCGATGAACCTCACTCTGAAACTGCCCTCTCCGGGAATGTTGGTTCCTTCGATCTCCGTCGTCGTCATTGTCGGTGAAGATGACTCAACGAGACTCATGATTTCATCAGGCGTATACTCGTCGTCTTCTCCGTCGACGACTAGCGTATCAGTCGTTGTCGTTGTCACTTCCTTCTCCGCCGTCTCATCTTCTTTCTTCCTCATCTCTTTTTCCATTTTCTCTCTTTTACCACAACTCAAAAGAGAGGAAGAAGAACTAAAAAGAAAGAGGCCGTACAAACACACTGTTGTGATATTTGTTTTTGTTCTTGCACAATTTATATAAAGAAGTGTAGACATATATACTATATATATACATGGGAAATTAAATACAACATATTTTGTGATAATATCCATAAAATACAGTGAATTGAGTCCTGTAAGTGGGTCAGAACGATGGAAATTATTAAGTCTAAATCAAATATATTATCAGCTGTCGTCTTTTTTTTTTTTGTTGAAAATATGTTACACGTTTTTAATAATATGATTTTATTAGAATTTTGTTTAGGTAAAAGTCCACCAAGAAAAAATATAAAGACAAAGGAACAAGTGTCTTAAGTCTTCTTCCTAACTCGTGATGAGAATAATAATAATGTTGATAGTTTTTGTTGCTTCTCATATGAATGATAATAAAACATTTTAACATTCATATTAAATAGATTTTTTTCTTTTATATAGTTTTACGTTGAAAATAAAAATTAAAGATATCGAGTAAAAGGTATGGAAAAGTAAATGAGGAGTTACCAAAATTAGGAAGCTGGTCGGTGAGTAAATTTACAATACACTTTACTAGTTGGACTTTTCTCTGATAAAAACCAAAAGTGGGTGGATATTTTTCTTTATTGGTTTGTTCTCTTTCAACACCAAAAGAAAAATAAAATAAGATAATAAAAAAAAACGAAAAGACAGAATTGGTTGATGTGAAAAGACATTAATAGGGTCTTGAATTGATATCGGAACTTACAGGGACGTGCCATCTGTTTGGTCACTGTGTACAGAGTAAGAGAGATGATGAGAAGTGTACAGTTTTTTCTCTTTTGTTTTTCCCATCGCAGCGATGCGACGCTGACTCTCTCTTCGCTTCCCAATTACTATTCTCCCTTGCATCGATGCACACACACTTTTTATGATTCCATTGGTCCAAACGCAACCAATCTGAATGTGAATGGCTTTATGGGCCTTAAAAAGCCTCTTCTTACTGAAGAGATGTTAAATTTAAAACCAGGTTTTGTATTATTCGAACTCGTAGTCTGTGTACCGGAGTTGTGAAAGGAAGTTGCTTGCTTCATTCTGTTGACATAAAACGTGATATGTACATTCAAATTAGTTTAAATAGAATCTCTTGTTTCTCTTCTAAGATACAAACATCTCTTTTAACTAACTGTTGATCCCGGGAAATGATGACCTCTCTTGGTTTTCCCGATTAACTGGTTTCCACTTCTAGGAGGCAAAGAGTTGCTTGTACGACAAGGCAGCCCAGCTTTCCTTCCGTCTTTTCAACTTACAAGAGGCAATCAAATCTGCAACTGGCAAAAGATCGTTTCAACGCGAACCGGATCGTAACATAACTGTTGGTGTCCCGTGTTCACTCAAGCTTCCGGTTGATAATCTCCTCATCTTTTGCCAGAATCTCTTGCCCCGTCCTGAGGCCAAGGGACCTGAGTTAGACTGTCTCTCGAACCTCCCTGAACCCGTGTACACTTCCGATGCAGAAAGTCCTCTCTCTGTGTCAGGCTCAGAGTCATAATTCGGTAGCAACGGATACCGGGCCATCCTCCCTGAGCCTTCACCACATGAGCTCCCAGCTCGAGTGTCATCTCTCAGATCGTCTTGAGTGATTGAAGTTACAGAGTTAAGTTCCTTAGCTTCATCACATTCGTTGCTGACAAGTTTCAAAGCTTGCACTACTTCTCCCATGAAAGGACGGTGCGATACTTCTGGTTGAACGCACATGGAAGCTATTGCCGCGACTTTAGCTATGCTATCGAATGAGATCTCGGGTCCCAAAGACTGGTCTATAATAGCTGCAAGCCCTTCTGTACTTGTGAGAAAAGACCGAGTCCATGAAACTAAGTTCTCTTGTCCTGGTGGTTGAGACATATCCACAGGTTTCCGCCCTGTAAGTAGCTCAAGAAGCACAACTCCGTAGCTATACACATCACTCTTTACCAAAAGATGACCTGTCATAGCATATTCTGGCGCCACATACCTATAAGAAAAAGCAACATGTATATATTAAATTTGACAGGAAACAAAGCAGTTTGAAGCAGTTTGTACCGTTTCTGGTTTTTATATTCTTACCCAAAAGTTCCCATAACTCGCGTTGATATATGTCTGTTATCTTCATCATCAAGGGCGTTTCGCGCTAATCCAAAGTCTGATACTTTAGGCGTGAAATCGTGTTCAAGCAAAATGTTGCTGGACTTGAAGTCTCTATGTATAACTCGCGGGCTCGAGTCTTCGTGTAAATACGCTAATCCACGGGCTGCACCAAGAGCTATCTTCAACCGAGCATCCCAATCTAAAGGCGAAGATTCTTTATCGATCCCTGAACAAGAAACAGAAAGAAAACAAGAGATTTGCTTCAAAGATAAGCAAAATAAACGGAACGAAACCATATCAAAATAACCTAACTACAATAAACTAATTCATTTCACGTTTTCCATGTCCAAACAAACTGTAACTGCAACAAAATCGAAACCAAAACCATATCTTATCAAACCAGACGATATACAGTTTTCATTCACTTTTTAGCTATAAACCAAAAATCTGAAAACCAAAGACCAGACTGGGGTGTTTAAGCTCGGGAAACATACCGTGGAGGTGAGATTCAACACTTCCATTTGGTATTAGTTCATAAACCAGGGAACGGTTACGATCTTCGATACAAATACCAATCAAATTCACGAGGTTTCTGTGATGAAGACGACTAAGCATTTCCACTTCGGCTAAGAACTCTCGGCTACCTTGCTGGTCATCTCTCTTCAATACCTTAACTGCCACTTTAGTTCCGTCATCAAAAACACCTTCATAAACCCTTCCAAATCCACCTTCACCAAGAACCCTAGATTCATCAAAGCTATTAGTAGCTTTCATTATTTCGTTTGCAGTGAATGTCTTTGCAGAGAGAGTAAACGGAGCAATGCTTGATTCAAATGACAATGAAGTTGAGCTAAACCGGCTTCCAGTTAAAGATCTCGCAGAGCCTGCAAATTCAGCTTAGTTATTTCCTGTTTCTCCCAATAGTAACGGCAGTAGTAACAGTGGTGCCTAATCTGGTTTAGCAATCGAAATCAAAACATAGAGAAATGAATCCTTTTCTATTTTGTTTCCCGTGTAAAAACAATAACTCAAACCATACCAAACTGAAAATGAAATCAACATTGAAATTTCTGAACTTAAACATACATATTTTAAAAAGCCAAATTTTAAATTTCTTTGAAATTTGATACCAACGATGAATAAACAGATTAACATCGAAAGGTCTTTGAAAAGCTTCATAAGTAAACACATATTTTTGAAAATACCAACTCCAAACTGAAACCTAAACTGTATCAACCAAACCAAATGGTATTCAATTTCTATTCAGTTTTATATCTCATAAAACGCACCGAATGCCAGATTAAGCTATAGAGTAACGGTATATTTACCTGATGGTTTCGAGAGGGAAGGTAGCGGGCGAGCAAGTGGAGCTCTTTTAGAAAGGCGCCGCCGATCTCTATGTCGCCGGAAAACCAAGAACCAAACGATAACGAAACATAATCCGATGAAAGCAGCTGCGGATAAAACAATCACAGAAATAGTTCCAGCATTGAGCTCTTTCTTTCGTAGCTTTTTCGGAACATCAACTCCATACGGTTTGACTGCCCTTCCATTATTATAACCGGAATAGGGTCCTTGATCTATAATGGTCATACCAGATGTTGGCGGAGAAGCCGGTAAACCAGGATAACGCACGTAAACAACCTCATACTTGCCAAAGATTGGTTCATCTATGTAGACTTTTTTACTCCAAAATCTCTGGTAAGTCAGCATTGCAGTCAAGTTATCAAATTTATCACCGAGCGGGACTAAATCGATAAGAACAATGGATTTCTCAGGTTGTTCGCTAGCCGCGTTAGCTCCCATTATACGGACTTGGCTCTGTTTCATGAAAACTCCGGCACTGACTTCCCTAGCAAATTCTGAAACCATCGGGAAAAAATCGTAAAGGGCCATGCTAAGCCGTAGCTCAACCTGAATTGGCCAGACACATCCACAAGGAGATCCCGGAGGTGTGTTTGTGTATGGTTCCATGCAAACAGTTGAAGAACAATCTGCAGAACGCAACAGCATAAATTGGTTTACAAGAACCCCAAAAAGACAGTTTGTCTTTCCCAAAATAACCAAAAAAATCTCTAAGAACCTGAATTAGGGGGAGGAGGAGGAAACGCTTGAAGCGGTGGACCGAGTGGGAATTTCCGAGATTTTGAAGGTCTTGAAGAGGACCTGAGAGGAAAAACTTTGGAGAAAAAAACATACTTTAGGATTTCACATCAAGCAAAGTGGTTTAAGAAAAGAACAGATATTGCCAATTTGTAGTTGGAAATATTATGAGCGGAGAAGTCAAACCTTGGGTTGGAGAAGGTGCTGGAGTCGGGGAGATGCGTTGCATAGAGGAAGAGATTGGAGCGTGAGCAGGAGAAATCAAAGAAGCAGGAATGGGAGGAGAAGTCATTGAACCTATAACAGCAAAAGATAGGAAAAAGAGAGAGAATTAAGGTCACCGGAAGTGTGATTACTGGCCAGTCTAAGTATCTCAAAGGATATTGTCAAGTGGAAACCTTTACGGTGGTTTGACTTCTTTGGAGATACGATTTGTGGCGGTGGTGGTTGTGAAGGAGCTGGACTATTTGTGATCTCCTTTCGTTGTTGATGATGTCGATGGTTTGAAGGTAGAGGAGGAGGAGGTGAGGATGGAGAATGGCGGTGGTGTACATTACTCGGAGTAGAAGCTGGTGGTGGCGTAGTAGATGGAGATGTATGAAAGTGTCCATTAAATTTTGGGGATGCGGGAGCAGGAGCTATTGAAGGAGGAGAAGCTGCGAGGTAATGATAACGTCGATTTAGTCTTCTTGTCGTACGGAAATAACAGTAACTTATATGATTGATGCCCTGAAATCTAACCTTTATGTGGGAAGACAGGCAATGGTTTAGCAGTTTTATTTGATGGTGCAGCACCCGGACTTCTGTTATCATCTCCATTATCACTGGACGGTGGATGTTTTACTGGATTTGCAGCATGATCTACAAAATAGGAGGGAGTGTTCATATCCTAGATATGGTTTTTCTTTAACGGATAAACACATTCAAAAGTTGAGCAAACCTGGTGAGACAGCAGGAGATTCGATCGGAAAAACCGGGTGGGTAGTCGGGGGACTTCTTGGTGGAGATCCCTTCGTTGGAGTCACGGTGGGAGCTGCACGGTGTGAGAAAGAGACCAGATGATAATACAAAGACATTTTCGTAAGAATGTGATAATACTGACTAATAAAGTAATTCTGCAACCACATACCAGGTGATCTAGAGGGTCTTAACTTAGGTATAACAGGATGGACTGGCGGTGAAATTTCAATCGATATTGTTGGTGGCGATGCAACTGATTCAGAGACCACAAACGCGTTGATGCCATATAAAAAGTGAAACAAAAATCCAAGTAATGGGTGAGCAAAACATGAGACTATACCAGGAGCAATAGGCTTTTCAACAGGAGGCTTGTGATTATTAGAAGCATTTCTAGGAGGTACAATGCTCGATGTGGGCGGAGGCAGAGCCACAGATGGAATTGGAGGAATATCCGAAACAGGTGATGAAACCGGGCCTGCGAATTAGACGGCATTGCAAGTTAAAAGATTCATGAAAGAATGGTAAAGTTTCAAGATTCGAGTTTAAAGACTTGAGAACATTGCAAGCTAAAAAAGTTCAAGCTTTCAATTGGTATATATGTCAGGAAGTCACCATATAGACATACCCGGAGTAACTTTGCCTGAGAAAAGAGGCTCCTTTGGTGCATCTCTTGGAATGAACTGAGGTGGTGAAGCAATCGGTGCAATGGGTTGAACCGGAGGTGGATTTCCTGGTAAATCCTTCACAGGTACTGTAGCTGGAGCTGAATTAAGAATCAAAACCCAACAAAATTTGAATTCTAGCTTCCTTTTAGTTTCAAAAGTGCCTACAAAGTGTTCGATTAATTGTCTCTAAGAGATCAACACTTCAATCCTAGTAAAAGATGTATAATATACCTGGAGCAACAGGAACCGAGACAACAGGCTCACCGGTCGGTGCTTCACTTCCGACGGAATCTGACGGTGGTGGAGCTGTCACGTCAGCTACAGGAGGAAGAGACGGTTGAGAAGCTTTAGACGGTGGCACATTGCCGGATTTGTGAGATTCAGGTGAATTACTCGGTGCTTGACCAAACCCTTTTGAAATTCCCGGTAATGGAGACGGTGGTGATGATATAGGAGATAACAAATCTAATCCTGAGTCAGTTAAACAAAATTTGAGATCTTTCAAAAATAAATCAAAAATTTCCTCAATTTCGTCAACAAAAGCTAGTAGTTGGATTTTATGACTCAATTTTTTAGTCTACACGAAATTATAAAACTTTCACATTATAAAATCGCATTGTGTTTGTAATAAAGTTTCCTTTTTTTTCCTCAACACTAGTACAGTTGCAAATTTACCAAATTGATCAATCTGAGTCTAATCCATAATGAAAAAGTGAAATACAAATAATAATTGCCTTTTTTATTAGGGCAAATGAAATTTAAGAAAGAAACAAAAAAAAGCAGACCTGAGGAAGAAGAAGAAGAAGAAGAAGAAGCAGGAGCTAGAAGCGATGAGAGAAGAGAGATCCTAAGGAGGAGAATAAAAAACTCCATTCCATAGAAGAGATGAAGGTTCCTCGATGATCACGAGGAAGACTGAAAAGAATTGATGGGTTTGGGGTAATCTTGAAGCTCTCCAAGTTTAAAGCAATCGGAGTGTTGTGGCACAAGCAGAAGATATGACTTCAAACGCAAGAAGATGAAAGCAGAGAGAGCAAAAGGAACAGTGAGAAATAAGCAAAGGAATGATTTTTTTTTCTTTTTTTTTTTCCTTTAGATTTTAAATGTTCTAAACAAAAGAAAAATAGAGAAATTAAAGACAGAAACGAGTTTGGTGGAAGAGAACGGTAGTAATCAAAAGGGGTCTCTGCAATTAATCTCTCATCTTCTCATGTTTGAACAAAAACGTTTTTTATTTTATTTGTTGGGTGTTTATTTCTTCTCTCATTTGGTCAAGAGAGAGATAGATCAAGAGAGAGAAGGAGATTTGATTTAACAGAAAAGGTGGGATTTTTGAAGAAGGTAGTGGGATAGTGTCAATGGAGGAAACTAGTGTTTGTGTGTGTGTGTTGTCTGAGAGAAGAGCCTAGTGGGGTTTTTGACCCATTTGTTTATTATTGACCTTTTTATTTTGTGTGTGTGTGTTTGCTCCGTTTGGGTTGAAGAAGTGAATTTAATTTAAAATTATTTTTTCTCCATGAAAGTGTTTATGTTAATTAGTCAATACATTTCCTACACATATGCATGTTATAATTCATTGGGAGATATGTGAAGAGAGCGTTTCCCAAAACATAAAACTACAATTTTTTTGACGTTTAAATTTAATTGTAGTGTGAGACAAAAGATTGATATTTATGTAAAAATATCTATATGATTGAATCTTTAAGTTTGATTAACCAACCACCATTTTTTTGTTTTTTGGAACTTGTTAATTGGTAAGAAAAAAAGGGTAAGGTTATATCATGTCCTTTAGATAAGATTAGTAAAAAGCTAAACCTACTTTTTAAGATACTTATTTGTCACTTTTTGAAACATTTTAACAACATAAAATATATTTTGTTTATTTTGAGCATGGTTTCTGTAAATTATCAATTTTTTCTGTCGTCTAAATCAGTTTTCTATATATATATGTAGGACATGGGTCTAAACAGTAGAAGTTGTCTCCGATTGAAATTATTAACCAAACACTTGGAAGCATATCTTATTGGAAAAAGATTTTCATGTCCCATTTGGTAACAAACGCAAATGTGTAAATTATATATTTAAAAGATTTTTGGAACCAAGTTTTTAAAATGATTAATAGTGTTGAAAATACCCTAAATTGACGCATGACTAAATTTTTATATATTTTTTGAAAATACACTAATGATGAATCTTAGTGGAATGGATTGAAATCTGTTTTGTATTGTAAAACTTGTTGAATTTTAAAAATAAGGAATCCAATGAGGGGACAAAATTAGGCGGATCCTCTATTTCATTAATCCAAAACCTCACCAAAAAATGACAAAGAAAAAGTTAGATTATTATGAAACCGATTTATTATTTTTAATCATATTAGCATAACTATAATGTCCATAACCATAACATAACATCATATATATATATATATATATATATATATATATATACGTACGTAGGTTTAATTTCCTTCATATCCAAAAATAACAAATCAAACCTTCTTAGTTTTAGGATACAAGTTTCGTATATTCTTTTTTTATCTTTCATTCCCTTCACAAGAATCACAACGTTGTTTTCATATCTTTTACTTTGTTTGCTTTATGAAATGAAAGAAAAAAAGGTATGGTTGTGAAACCGATAGCAACAATTCACTTTAATTGATAGGCACAACAATAGCACCGACGTACCATCTTCTATATACATAATTCCATCAAACTAAAATGGAAGTACTCAATAAAATTATTGAGTATTGATCACACGCCGAATACAAAGATTTTAAAATGCTAATATGTCAAAGATTATTAGGTCCACAAGTAAATTGATAAACATGTTGACCAATTCGAAAAGTGTACTGATGATACTAGAATTTTAATAACTATTTCCCTAGAGTGGATGAAGACCTCCCGATAAAATATAGTATATTTTAAAGATTACAAAGGCTCTCTTTCATTATATAAACTTGCCTATATATCAAAAAGAGAGGTGGACTTTTATAGGCGATCTAGGATGTGCGTATATATATTATATACATCTTCCTAGGCTCCGATTAGTAAAATAGAATTACCTAACTTTGCGGGAAATTGATGAACATAGTAAATAAAAATGGAGAAGAACTTGTCGTAGTTGAAAACATGAAACTTGACTTCATCGTATTTGCTCATATTTTCTCAAGATTCTTCTGCTCGCTCTCAGTCTAATTAATCAGTGTAGTGTTTTTGGTGACCAAAAAAATCGCAAACATGCAAAGTAACGTTCGGAAACGTCATTTCATTAATGATAACATAAAAACAAAAACATATATATATATATATATATATATATATATTGTTCATAATAATAATAGTTTTAATTGTTTAATTAACTGTATGTGAGTATGTCAGTTCATAATCACTGTAAGAATGATTTGATATATGTATAATGAAATTCGAACCTTTTTATAGATAATGACATCTTTAGACTGTGTATTTAAGTTAAGTTCTGCATATCTCAAATCTTGATTTTTACATACGCATGAGTAGTGTGATGTGTAGATTATAATATTTTTTGTTCATAAAGCAGAGTAAAGCCAAGTCAAAAACACCAGCTCCTCTAATTTAATTAACCTTACAATTAACAAATAAGTTAAAAAATAAATCGTTACAAAAACACGTGGTGTAAGAATCAGTTCCGTTGTCACTAGTTAATGACTTTTTTAGGTTTGACCCATCTGATTTATTTTTCACAATTCATTTCGTAATGCAAATTTGCAAAATGCAAGCTCACCGACAAAAAAGAAATCATAGAGAGACATGAATAGTAAAAAAAAAAAAAAAAAGAATACATATACGAGAAGGAGTGGAGGGAATCGGAGATGGTAACTTGGTGTCGTAATGTGTGGGGACAAATATACAAATACGACCAGAGATTCTCAAGTTTGGCTTTTTTGTCGTTTAACTGTAAGTCTGTAACAAGTGATCACGGACAACGACCTTTATTTCTTAGTTTTATTACTCTTCATACAAATCTTGTTACTGTGTATATTCTTTCTTTGAAGTCATATTAGTAGTAGTATTAAAGTCCAATACGATAGATATTAGGTGGAAGACCATTTTTAGCCTAACTCAAGAAGAAGAAATTGGACTTAATTAAAACCAAAAGTAAAACAATAAAAATTAAACTAAGTTTTGATTATAGATTTTATTATAATGTGGAAATCTAAAGTGGTCAAAATATGTACTACAACTACTACCTAATAATAATTCTAACTACTAGTAGTAGATTATATAGCCTCCCTATATAATGAGATCTTTGGGATGAAGATGGTCCAAAGAAACTTTGTCTGAGCCTCGTGACAAATTAATTTAGTAATATACCCACCGATATTTAATTAAATATTCCTCTCTGATGTCTGAAACTCTGAACTGGATCCGACTTACTCTTGTCCAGTTGGTACTACTGTACCAAATGCCAAATTTATTTATTTATTAATTTTCAGATTTTTCCAAAATAAGGAAAACACCAATTAATGGGAATTTTAATCTAAGAAACTATATATGCAAATTAGCCATAAAAATTTTACTTGATAATTAGAGAGGGGTGGTTGATGCATTTAATTAAAAAGAGGTATATATATAGAAAGAGACCTAATGATATATGGGACCATCCAAATTCACTTTGACAATTAAAGTAAGTATTGAGAAGGTAATAACAATGTTAAAGCCCCATGTGCCAGCAGATAGGCATAGACAAGAATCTATAAACCTTTTATAGGAGGGTTTGGTTTTGTTTCCTTTACTCTTTTGCTAAAGCTGCAACAACAACAACAACAACAGCAGCAACAAAAGAAAAAGCTCTAGTTAAAAATCTTAAAGATGAAGAGATGATGTTTCTCTCTTTCTCTTTTACCATGTGTTAAACCTCATTCTCAAGGTACCATCTTTCATATGCCAGAGAAGTTGAATCTGATTCACTATAACCAGCTTTCACTCTGATATGACCCATGTGGCTTTCATCAAGTTATTTAAAATATTGATGCTGCAACCACATTGAACAGATTGGGTTTTGGATTATTACAGTAACCATTCTAGAATCAATGTATTTCTTGGCTCGTAATGATTGAGATTAGTTACTGTCAAGGAAAAGAAAGTATTTTTTTTTACCAACCAACAAAGAAGTCAGTAGTTTAGGTGAAAACAGGTGAAGCCAATGCTACACATGACATGACTGTTGTGTGTTTCTGTGATGATCACTCTCTTACATCTCAACAAACTATAATTTATCAAAAAAGGCTGTTTTACAAGATGCAAAAGGATGAAGTTACAAGCAAAACAGTATGGAAACAGATGGAAGACTGTTAGCTTTTAATTGAGCATAAGAAAGAACACTGCTGGATTACCTTGTTTCTACAGATGGAGAGAGACAAACAAAGCTATGCATCCAATGGTTCAGCTTCCGACCTAGAAAACATATCGAGTCTGGCAGTCAGATGAAAACACCTCGTCAAAAGATAGTAGAAATTTGACATTAAACTAGAACATATACAATACCTGAGTGCAACGGAGACTTGAGTTTACAGTTATTGATGCCCACAAGATAGTATCTGATCGTATATTTAAGTTCAGTCATGTTATTGGCAAGGGTCAAATTCTTGAAACTGTTTCTTGAAATCTTCAGCCAGTTTTCCCTCTTCTTCTTGGCTAATTTTACAGTTTCTCCAGTCGGCCCTATCTGGGATCTTTAGCAGCCCTGCTAGAACCTTGAAAATCCAATGTGATTTGATAAGCAACAAAACGCCTTCGGGATCTTTAAAATGTTAGGGTGGATCAGATGTTACCTATCTAATTGAATTAAAAAAAACTTCATATGTTATGATCTAAGCATGAAAGTTCTTTGGCGAATGTTCAACTCCGTATTAAATAGAACACACTATTTATATATTCATGTATATGAACCTTGTGTATCAGTGGTATATTTCTTTAGTAGTACTAAACAAAGTCGCAATTTCATGCATGAAATGTCTTACCTCCCGTCCAAATTGTGCAGGGAATACTTCGTTCTCTTCCAGGGTGTGTGATAACACTGTTCCATCAGGAAGTTCCACATAGAAGAGCCCCAGAGCTGCATTGTATTCCTTCTGCAGATATTTTCTGCCATCAGAACTATCACTAACTGCAATAAAGACAACATAATTTAATAAAAAAGAAACTAAGAATGGTATGGAAGAACATAGGTGTATAATGTATAAAGACAGGCTCCATTGATTCGATAAGATAGAGCTTACACTTTTTCGTCACAAGCTTAAAGCCCAGTTTTTCAGCAGCCAGACTAAAGATATTTGGAAGAAGACGAGCTCTGGATGATGGAACAGGAACAACCTACAAAAAGTAGAAAAAACTAAACATTAAGCAATTTTTTTTAATTCAAAAGATGTACCTGATTTGCAATAGCAACTTCTCTTACCTGGAGGTTAGCATGAGAAACACGTTTAGAGACCAATTCAAAGAAAACTGCATCATTTCCTTGGCTCTTATAACAATTTCTCAGACCATTTTGGTATCTACTGAGCTCTGATTCAACCTCGGGGGATAAAACCAGAGTATTGGGCAAATGTTCGATTGGGATTATCAGTATGTGGTCTTCGACTAGTGAACCTTTGGGTAGAGCACAATAAAAACTTTCCCCTACACTGACGATCAAATGTGACTCCACACTCGGGCTTGATAAACAAAACCAGCATTCTTTTGACCTGAGAAAACAATTTTCAAACAATAATTACTGCCTCAACCCCTAGCAAAAAAGGAACCCACTTTGCAAGAAGGAAGCTCAATCAGGAATTACCTATTAGCATTTTCAGATCTAGGCTTCCTCTGTATGCTTTCATTTTGAAACTCATGCTTGTAGCTGCACTCTGGGCCTTTTTCACACTTACCTTTGATTATAAGATCAAGACAAACACCCCTACGACACTGTTCTCTTGCTTCAGCGTTGTGTTGGAAATGGCAATTTTCCCCACGTTGACAGGAACCTGAGCATACAAATTTGAAACAGAGCTTTCCCCCTTCAGATCCATTCTTTTGCCGCTTTGGAACATCATACCTCCAATACTGTGAATCAGAGTCACTGTCATTTGGTCTCTTTTTTGATTCAGCAGCTCCATCACGTAAAGTATAAGGAGGTAGTGTAGTGTTTGTAGGCTTTGCACTAAGCTCTGCTGGTGACATGGTAGATGTTGGTGTAGGAGAAAGCGCATGAAGAAATTTCTACAAAGAAGAAAAAGGAAGTAACATTGAAGAGTTTTAAGAAAACTGCATGATGATCAGAAAGCACAAAGAAAAAATTCCATTTGATGTGATTCATGTGCTTGCATAGATTCTGCATCCAAAGTATTTACATCTTAAGAGGAGCCATGCATACAGTTAAGGATACTACTCAGAGGCAAGTGATCAAACAGAAAGGTACCAATATCAACAGACAAAAACAATGAGATGCCAAGCTGTATGAAAGAAACTGTAGAACACACCTGTTTGTTTTTATTTCCAACTTGAGCAAGACCAATAAAGCGAGTTACATGAGTAGAATCAGCATTGAGGTAAGGTTCACGAGCATAAAATACCCCCATAGAACCTGCAATGTGGTAGCTACCACAAAAGGCAACAAAAACAGCAAATTAAGTTCCTAACTTATCAAATTTCCCTAGTATCAACAATATAAGAACAGAAAAAGTACTTACCGAGGTTTAATTTCCATTACCAATTCAGAAACAGTGAAATCACTACAAGAGGAATCAGAAACGCCTGCAGGAATATCAGAAACCGCAGCTCTATTTGTGACTCCAGCAGGCCATTCATTAGTATACATTAGTTAAGAAACACAAATTGTAAAAAGAACAATAGAGAGTAGAGATTGTATCCACGGTTCGAAAGTCATCAAGTAATACGAAAAAGGATATGTTAAGAACAAATCAACGACTCCCGATTCTTCAGCAAGTGCACGAAGAGCATCAACATCATCTTGATTATATTTCCCAAATTGACTATCAGATGATTGTCTACCAGATAAGTAAGCAACAGACAAACCTAAAACAAAAAGATTAAGATCATTGACCAAACAAACTATCAGATAAAGCTGATAAAAATCAATTCTTTCTGATATGACATATCAAAACCTTTACCATGAAGAGTGAACTTCCCACTTCCTCTTAACCAAAACAAATTGTGGCAAACCTCAAGCCCATCCATCTTAAACCCTTGATTCTCAGCTTTCTTCGAAGTCGTCGAAAGGATTTTAGGGGCAACGACGCCATAATCTCCGGTGAAGTAAGTAGGAATCGGAACTTGAGCTCGACCTTCGACGTAATCCAAAAACTCATCTAGAAGTTCCGAAGAGTCAGGAAAAAACTGGCCGACGCAAATCAGAGCATCAAACTGGCCAGCAGATTTGCTAACCTGCAAAAATTGGATCTTCGATTAAAAACCTAAGAGATACAGAATCAAGTGAAATCGGAGAGCAGAAGGAGAAAGGTAGTGATAGGGAAAGAGATATACCGATTGGACACGCTTAAAGAGCTGATTGAGACGTCCAAGAGGATCTCCGCAGAGCAAAATTCTAGGCGCCATGAGTGTACTGTATTACTGAGAGAGACGATTGATGGAGGAGGAGGAGGCAACGACGGAGACGAGGAGAGTTTTGAGGTTTTGGGCATCCCGGTCATCACTTAATGGGCTTCTGACTAAAGCCCAATTTTACAATTGTCGTAAGTACATAAGTTAAAACTATTACTGTATGTAGCTAATAACATCACTAAAGTTTGAAAACTAGAAAACAAATAAAATTAGTGATTTATATGTAAAGTTCATGGTTTATAAAAAACTTAACGTAAAGTTCATAAACTTAACGTAAAGTTCATAAACTTAAAATTGGAAATTGATTCAAATTACTTCCTTAGTGTAGGCTAACGGGCTTAGTGTGGCCCATTAGACCCTTTTTGCTTTTTAGTTAGAATTGAGAGGAAGAATTTTTCCTAGAATCTTCTTTAAAACAAAAAGGAAACACGATCATTATCTTCTCTCTTCTCATAGTTTCGTTGCGCGATTTTCACCTGTTGTGCTAAGGGTTACGATCATGGAGGAATCTTCTGTTTCGATGGATGTTAAGTGTCCTCCTCTTAAGATTCCGAAGTTGGATAAAGATTGCGAAGGATCGAAACCTTCCTCAAAACATCGCGTGCACAAGTGGGGAGGAGAGGACGATGACGAATACTTGCGACAGTATTTGTTGTACCACTATCAATTCGAGAAAACTGAGGTGATATAGAAAGACAAACCAATCTCTTGATTTTGTCTCTCTACTTGCGCAAGGTTAGGGATTTGATTTGAGATCTGTTTTTGCTTAAATTTTAGGGTTTCTTGATTAAGTGGGAGCAATTTGATTACCTATTCCGTAGTAGATCGTTGGATGTTTCAAAATCTATAAGCGAGTCAAAAAGAAGCAATGCAGAATTGATCCGTGAGTTGACACTCACTGCTATCGAGAAACAGAACGAAGCTCAAGGAACAAAGCTTGTGTTTGTCGAACATGTTCAGGCAAATTACCAATTTACCAGTGGTCTTCAATGCTGGCTTACGTTTTGGGCTGTAGATATGGGTTCATCCACTCCTGAATCTAAAATCTATCAAGCAAAAGTGTGGCGTCGCGGTAAACAGTTTCATACTTTTTTCTTCAGGCTCAAACCGACGGACGAAGGTGATATTTCTTCTTTATCACGTAAACGCTTTGTGCTTTTTTTTTGTTTTTCTACTTAAAAGTTCTTTGGATGTTAATTTAATATATGTTTTGCATGCTGTGTTGCAGAGATTGATGCAGTTGAAGTGCAACCTCCCCCACCCTTGTGTTATGAATTTGATAAACCACCTATTGTCTTTTCTGTGGCTGGTCCTGAAGATGATCCATTGCCTGGAGTCCCCTTTATCTTCAATCGAACTTGACTTGGTCTTGATCCTGATAGGTTCATCCGATGTTGGTCTTGATCCCGTTATAGCTTCTTTCCCGACCAGAAAATGTCTGCCAATCTCTTTGGGATAGACTAGTATTATTTCCTACTCACCAATTAATAGTTATTAGTGGTCTAAAAATTTCTTCTTGATGGTTCATAAGAGAAGACATGCAATGTTGTCAATCTAGTATCCGAACTCCATTCAGAGTGTTGGGTTGGAGACGTTTACAAACCAGAAACACAATGATTATAAGTCAGAACAAGAATTACATTCAGAATTTTAGAATATCCATAATTAGAATCACTTGCACCCTGATAATGAGACCACGAAAAAGTATGGTAAAACAGATACATCAAAAAGACATCCTAGAGAAACCAATAAGCTCGATCGACTACCAAACCCCACAGAAAAAAAAAACGAGGTTGGGGCCTCTCTCTAAGAAAAACCAGTTTTATGGATAAATGTGTTTAGGTGCAGAATGAAACCTAATCTACAAAGGAAAGATATAAAACAAAGGTTTTATAAACGTACATGTAACATTTATATTTTATATATATACTAGTCTTTGTTATTTATGCATTGTACATAGGGTGGTATTGGTTTGTTATTTATAAAGAAATTAGATTAATAAAATCATAGATTGTACGTAAATGAAATCATCTAAAAGATTGTTAGAGAGTATTTTTTGTAATTTTGTTGACTTGATTTCTATACTTTTGTAAAGTCTTTCAAACAATCTCTCTATTTTGATAATATTTTCATGACTTTAAAAGAGAAGTGTTTAAAATCATAAACAAATAACATAATAATTTAATTCATTAACAATCAAATATTCTTTTGTTTTAGTTGAATAACTCAAAACTTTTAATGACTTTATAAAATTATGAATCCAATAACCCCATATTTGTAAAGATTTTAAATGAATTTTTAAAAATGAGTAACCAATAACACCAAACTTTAAAAGAGTTTAATAAAATATTGATTGAATAACAACTGATTTTACATGACATTTGAAATCTTTAAAACTCTCTATAAAATCACTAACCAATAACACCCCCTAAAATCAAGAAACATTCATTCTCTTCTCTCATTGTTTCGTTTCAACTTTCCTATCGAGAAAGTGCGTTAGGGTTGCGATCATGTCGGACACTGTTTTGACGGAGGTTGACCCTCTTAAGGATCCGGAGTTGCACAAAGTATCGAAACCTTCCACAAAAGAGCTCAAGGTAGGAGATGTGGAAGATGATGAGTATCTTCGACAGTTTTTGTTGTTTTACTACGAATTCCATAAATCCGAGGTAAATCCAATCTCTAAATTCCTTGTTTCCTTCAAATATTTAGGGTCAATTCGAAATCTGATCAGATTTTTGTTTTTTTGTTTTCTGGAATCCGTTTGCTTATTTAGGGTTTCACCGTGGATTGGGAGAAATATGATTACGCGTTCGCTCCTAGGTCGTTGGATAATTCTCCACCTATTGGCGAGACACGAACCAATGCCGAAATTATCCGTGATACGACCCTCTTTGTCATCGAGAAATACAATAAAGCTCATCGAACAAAGAAGCTCGTGTTTGACAAGCATATCTCAGCAAATTACAAATTTGCTTCTGGTATTATCTGCTGGTTAACATTCTGGGCTACAGATATGGCCTCACACACTCCTGTATCGCAAATCTATCAAGTAAAAGTGTGGCGTCGCGGAATACGGTATGATATTCCCATGTTCAGGCTCAAGCCCAAGGAAGAAGGTGATCTTTTGGTTTCTGCTTTTTAGATTCTTAATTTGGCTGCTTACCTTATTCTGATGTTAACTCGTGTGTGTTTAATGTGCAAATACAGAGATGGATTCTATTGATGTGGAACCTCCCACTCCCATGCCTTATGATGACTATGGTACTGCTTGCTTCTTGCCCTTCTAATAGTCTCTGCTTTTCTAATTATTGCCAATATGACAAATTCATTATTTGAGTAAGTTAGTACTCACTAATGTGTTGTGTTTTCATGTAGAGAAACCACCTGTTGTGTTTCTTCGAGCTGGTCCTGAAGCTGGTGTCCCTTTTATCTTCGATCGTTCTGGAGCTTTCTACTCTTATAATTCCGATTAGAGATTCTCTTTAGGTCTGGTGTGTAAGGGAAAAGTATACCATGCCCTTGGTGTCACCGACTAGTGTTTCTTATTAAAGTTGTGTCGAGTCTCTAGACATATTTTATGTTTGGATAGTTCATTTATTGTTTACTCTTATCAACTTATCCGGATTCCTTGAAATTTAAGCAAATATCATAACCCAAGATGTTTCAATTAACAATTGTCTACCAAATAAACGATATTTTACGTCAAACGAAAACAAAGGATATTTATTTTTCTTTAGAGGAAATCCTAAGAAATATATATAACTGAATGTAACACTTTAAATCATGCTTCGTCTTTTGGTCCAGGAGGTCTTGGCAATCCTCTTATGTTTGGACAAAAAACAGCAGCAAATTGGGACAACGATCGTCTACGAACGGTCGAACGGTAGACATATGCATAACCATCATCTCCCCAAGACTCTCCCCAAGAGTTTTGAATAATCCAATATGGCCGCCCGTCGTGACGTCCATAGCCTACGATAAGAACGTTATGCATTGGGGTAAAAGATCCATCTACGGTACGGTCATGACGGTAAAGCCACTACAAAACAAATTTAAAATTATAAAAAAATTTGAAAAATGAAACAAAAAATATATAATAAAAAAAAAACTGATAATTTAACTTACATCGCTTCCATTGATGTTGTAGTTCATCAAACCTCCATCATATGGCATGAGAGCGGCTACAGGTTGCCTTCTAACAATGTCTTCAAGATCTACATCTTCAATGTCCGTCATATAAGTGTAGCTGTCTACTCTATGGTAGTGGACCTGTAAATAATGATGAAAATGTAAACATAAGTATTTATTAATTATTGATAATATGAAATGTCTAAAAAAACTATAATATTACTTACATTGGGATGTTTGCATTTTCTTTTCACAAGTTCACCACGATGAGAGCACTGGCTCTCTACACAAACTCCAGATTGTTTGAGGTAAGCTAGAGCGTTTTTTATGTTGGAGATGCCATCATTTGGACTAAAATCTACTTCGCTGACGATATGTTGTAAAGACAATTCTATTTGCCTTTGTAAACAAAGGCCAATGTTCAAAAGTGCCTCGACGGCTCTCACTATTGGGATTACCCAACATGTGGCTGCACAAAAAGCATGAAAATATATAATGATAGACAAAAAGTACAAAGAAATATAATAGTATTATTTTCCATTGCAAAGGATATAATCATATAAAGATTATAGATCGTGAAATTAATTGCAATCCCAAGATACTCTCTATAAATATCTTATCAATTTTGTAATATCTTAACAATATCAAAACATGTGTCATAGAGAGGTTTTAAACTTGAAAACAAAAGTTCTTAAACATGAAACTTTAGAACAATTAATAAACTCTCACCATTCTCTTTTATACCTTAATGCTCTAATAAAACAAGCACTCATGAATTCTGTTCACTTCTTTTTTTTTGAATGAATGTTAAATTTATTCTACCCAAAAAAAAGAAGCTGTTTTACATTATATGCAGCAGTTTGAACCTTTGAATATTTACGTGTAATATTATTACTGAAATTTTATACACTGCTGAAAAGACGAATTTTATTGGATGAAATTGTCAATTTCGATTTTTAATATAACTGAATAACTTAACCGATTGATTAATTATAACAACTCTATATCTCATGAACCTTGATCTACTTGATCCAATACATGGCCGATAACACCCGGGTAGTCCCTCCAGTCGCAAGAATCATCATCCTACGTACATAATTAATTGTCATTACCCATTTTTAGTATTAAACATCAGTTCAACTAAAACAATATATAAGACCCGTAATTCTTTTTGTTAGAATATAACAGATAATGAGAGATAAACCATATATAACCTCTGTATTTGTGGACACCTATAAAAAACAAATAGAAAAATTATATAAGTTTTGCTATTCAATATATATATATATCGGTTCAACAAGTATTTGTCATATATGTAATCGCCACCCATTCTCTCTATCTCTCTTCTTTTTGTTTACCTTTTTTCTTGATGGTGGACCCTGATAAATCTGTTTGCCTTTTCTTCCATCCATTATCTAAAAGAAAGAGAAGAAACGATTAGCTCATTCAAACAAACTTAGGTGGAGTCATGAGGCAAAACAAAGGGAGTAATACAGAAACAATAAAGTAAAAATTAATGACTAGCTAGCTTGTAATATTCACTAGAAACAAACTGAATCTGAAGATAAAAAACAAAGATCAATTGCCAGCTCCATAGGATTGCTGATCTTCCATTGTATCTAATTATTTTAAAAAAGTAATTAAATTTATTCATGTGTTTTTCTCAAAAACATTTAAACAAACACGCAGTAAACAACTTGGTTAGTAAACTTTTTCTTCATTTAATTTGTGAGGACAACAAAAAAACACTTGGAACATATAATAAATAATAATTGCTGCATAAAAGATGATATGAACTGATTAACCAAACCTTAGAACATATAATGAATAATAAAGAATAATCATATCTTGGGTTTCAGATTTAAGAAAAATGGGAATGGATGTAAGAATTAAGAAAGGAACTCTCTCCTTATAATATCTACACGACGCTATATATTGAACCATAATGATCAACATTTTCTTAATAACTGTTATAAAAAAAAAACTTTTTCAGAAAGATTAGAACTTTAGTGTGAGAAAACAATAAAGGAAGCTAATGAGATTAAAAAAAAAAAACAACAACAAAATGAGAGCAAGAAAAACCCAAATATGTATGAAAACAACACCAACAGTTTTCATGTTTAATGTGAGAAAACAAAAAAGGATGCTAATGAGAGCTAAACTTGATGAGAAAGAAAACCCTCAAATTTGTAAGGAAATCACATCGAATAGAAGAAAAGAAAACATATTTTATGAAAAGATCAAGTTCTTTATAATGGTAAGAAACAACCATATACCTGATCGGAGAAAACAAAGAAAAATATGAAGATGAGATGTTTTTTTTTTTGTTTGCTCGGTAAAGAAGAAGTTGCAGAAGAAAGGAATTGAGAAGAGAAAGAGTAATTATGACCTCAAGAGATAGAGAGGCTTGTGGTTTTTATAGCTGTATTTGTTGTCTTTTGTGTGAGGAAATTGTGTACTTTGATTTTGTATTTTTTTTGAAGAGAAGGCAAATGATAGTGATTTGATGGTGGAAGTCACACAAATATTCTTTGTATCAATTATAGAAATGTTATAGATTATTAACAGAGTAATTTTAAAAAGAAAAAATGTTATTAACGAAGATAGTAAAGTGTGTGTGCTTTTCTAATTTTCTTGTGTTAGAATGCGTTGTAAAAGTGTTGATCTTCATCATATGATAATAGATAATGCGTGTGGGTATTACTCATTTAGAATTTTGACGTTTCCCTATGTCAAATTTCACAATCGGTTTATTTACGTACGCTGCAAGGTTTGTATGAGCACTAGTGAAATATAAAACTCTGATTTTCATTTAGTATATAAGAAGATCATAAACTATTTTAATTTATTATAGAAATTATTTACAAATTCTTTTTCTAATTTAATTTCGTTTTCTATAGTGTACCAAAAACTGTTAACATTTGTAGGGTCAGATTTTATGTCAGGTAATGCACTTAAGTATGTTTTGTCTTTTAGTAAAGTGGTGCTTTTCTCTGCTTTCTTGTGTAGTTGTGTTATATATAACCCTAATTGGGCAATCTTTTTCTTCTCTTTTTACTTTATTTTATTTTAAAGAACACATACGTCAAATGAAGATAAACGATGACACTAGACATGATCCCAAATCGGGTTTATAAGAAAATTATGTAATATCTTCTCTTATGATATTCCAATATTAACCGTGAGTGATTTCAATTACATATTAACACACTATTCATGTTTTGTATCGGTTAATATTGGATGAGACCGTCACTTTCGTTTTTCAACAAGACTGTATATACTTTTCCAAACTTTGGGTAGATATGTGATCAAATTATAGGAATGTACTATATACAAATGTACACAAAAATAAATAAATTGCTCTTCTGATTATTGATAATTTGATATACTACTCTCTCATTATCATAGCTAATATTATAAGTAGCAAATATTATTAGCCTATTTGTGGAGATGGTTAATGACTTCAGGATGTGTTTACATAGAGAACATTTTTTTCATTTTTTTCATGTTTTGCTGTGCGGATAGATGATCTCTTTCTAGCTTATAGACTCTAGCTGTAAAGGAGATGTAAATTAAGGATTTAATTGTAAATAATTAGACCTAAGTATTCTCTTGTAATCAATATAAAATAGTGTAACCCTTACATCTAATAACTACGATATTGGAGAAAAGTTCTTGAACCTTTCAAAGGAATTTTTATGGTTCACCTGAAAATTGTATGCTTAGAATTTAAAGCAAGGTTGATAAACATACATTTGGAAAAAATAATATGTGTGCGGTGCTGCAGTTTGATGTTCTTTAGGTATAAAATGCATAAACTACAATATTTTACGTAAATAAAATATGAATGTGATGGGAAGCTAGAGAGAGATGATTTTGACGCGCGTGAGTCGGATTTTTAGGTGAAGGTGTAAAGGTTTGAAAAAAATCTCAAATTTCCATAGATGGTGTAATCTTTTGCTTTTTCTATCAAAATATGTTAAAAACAAAAATCACAAAGAAATCTGAGGAAGTTGCATTTTTATTTAATGTGTTTATTAATTATATAAATTATGAAACAAATTCCACGTGGCAGATATTTATATATTGGTTTAGTGACTTGTGATTTATAATACAATAAAAGATTAAACTTCTTGTTTTTATATGGGGAATTAGATGATCTGAGATAATTTAACAATAAAGTTAGTCATATCAAATCAATGAAAATTAAATTATATACTATTTGAAAGAAAAAAAAATCATCATTATGATGAATTTCAATAATATCTTTGGATTTTTTCTTTCTCACCATTAAATTCTCTAGATGCATAGAAGAGCAAATGTGTAAGTAAAGAATTACAATTTTAGTGGGTTGGGAGAGCAAAACAATTAGGGTTATAAAATGAGTTTTTGCTTTCCCACTACTTCAAAACTAAGGTTCCTTATTTGTTGATCAAGGTAGGAAGATGACGACGACTGATGAATATGAAATATGCAGTGATCCGTTCGATCCAAAATGTGTCGGCCCTTGTACCATATATAGGCCTGGAGCTGAGCCCGAGGGGGCGAAACGTTTCTTGGAGAAGTTCAGAGGGAAAGAAGAAGATATGATTCACAACTACACACGAGACGAGGAGTATTATCTTATTAGGGAACAGATCAAGAAGAGCCAAGTATTTAGTATTCCTTTTTTTCTTTTTCTTTTTATTCTCTTTAGTTGCGTTTTTTGCTGTTTTGATTCATCACTAAGTGTTGTTCTTGTTGTTGTTAAAAAGGGATTTGACGTGGATTTTTCCATGTTTCGTACCCTTTTTGATTTCTACCCTTCGATTTTGGACGAAAGCCATTCAAGAAATTACCCTTGGATTTTGGACGAAAGCCATTCAACTATGAATCAAGAAACCGGTAGAGACTATTTTGGGAGGCTGGCCAAGGAAGCCATTGCAAGATACAACGATAGGGACAGGACGAGTTTTGAGGTTGTTGAGGTTAAGAAAGCTTATATTTACAAGGGTAGCAGATACACTTACTTCATCACATTTGTAGTCAAGAATCCTTGTGATGATGATAACCAGACAAAGATCTTTCAGGCTAAGGTCCGTAACGTGTTGGGTACAGAGATTGTACATAGCTTCTGCAGGCAAAAACCCGATCAACAAGGTATATATATATTTCTTGGATTTATATTTACCTTTTTCAAGTCTTGAGTAGTTTAGTAGATATTGTTCAACTTGTGTGTTTTCAAATTAGTTGGATATTCAATTTAATCTGGCTCAAGTTTTTTTTGAGTATGGTACTAGTAGGAATCATGAAAGTTGTGGCTTATATATGTAACCTAACTTTATACTTATGTATTGGCAGTAAAATGTTAAAAAGATTTCGAGGGAGTTGTGTGAAGAAAAGAAGGTATATTACTAGTTATATCTACCTTCATCGTAAACAGAGTTTTCTTTTCAAGGTCTTAACTTATCGTTCATGCTAATGATTTATGATTTTGTTTTTACCAGGGCTCAAGAAGAGGGACGTCATTAAGATCTCTTTTATATATTTCATTTAATTAATGACTAGTCTCATTATATATATATATATATATATATATATCATTTGTCTCGCTTCTATATGTCGAACACTTTTTCTTTTGTTATGAGGATGCGGATGACTCGTTTTTATGCATGTAATATGATAATCATTTTATGTATTGTATCCATTATACTTAAACATTTGAGGTTTAGTTGTATCAAATGATATTCTCATATTATACTTTTCGTTGACAGCTAGTAATACATAATGTCTCTTGTTCTAGGGAAGATACAAAGATGTTGTGTCTTTGTGAAGTTTTAAGTACGTGTGTAGTAAGAAATAAGGAAAAGCTTTCCAAAGTCAATGCAATAAGTATCTACATTCAAATTTATCTCTCCCATGTTTCACGAGAGCAAAGCTTTAAATATTGATGCTCTGTTTCACATCTTACATTTACATGAGGACCGGTATATCTGTTATCTCAAAAACTAAATAAAGGATCAGTTTTTGCCGTGGCTAAAGCTCGACAAGAACTCGAGAATCTGAGAAGATACGTTCCCTGAGTTTCTGGTTACAGTCGTGTTAACTTTAACCTCACCCTTATTCACAGCTTCTACAGGATCATTGCTGCTCTTTTCAGCTTTAGCCGATTCAAATTCTGCAGCGAGTTTCATGGCTGAGTGTAGAGAACTTTGAATGTGTGAGTTAGGCGTAGTCTTGAGAATTCTACTACTTGCTGGTTCTTGAGGCTCCCGCTTCATATCTTTTGGTTCTTCTGATGCAAATGATAAGAAACTGATTCCTTTTGGAGCCACCACAGGAACTAAGCTTCCCTGTTGAGACTGCTTCAATGTCTGATTATCAGAGCTGTCTGTGCTTGGCTTGGACACAGGAGACGGTTTCACCGTATTGTCTAAAGAGAGAAAACTCATACCCTTTGGAGCAACGGATGGTTTTCTCAAAGGAGGAACCTGTGGAGGCGTTGCATGTTCATTGATCCTCTTAGGAGATGATGCATCAGATGAGTTTCTTTGGTTAGATTGACCCAAAGGCTTCACAAACGCAACAGAGCTTGAAACTCTTGCTTGGATCGCCGGTAATCTGGCTATGGCCTCTCTGACAGATTGTTTATTTGTTTTCTGAAGCAAGAAAGACGCTGAAGCGATGTTAGTTGATGAGGCTGTTACATTGGCATTCGATGTGTCTGAAGCAGATTGTGGAGCACCCTGTTAAGTGAAGATTTGTAAATTAGGATCAAAAGATAAATAGATAATTAGACTCAAAAGAAGTGTCATGAGAAAATCGAGATTAGTATATACCTTGTGCGAAAACAAACAACTATCACCCCTGTGGCAGAAACCTTTGGTAATAAAATTATTGCAAGGGTATTTGGAGAGATCATGATCGTATGGACAATCATCTCCTTTCATGCATGACTGGGTTGCAAAGTAGCAGCAAGGCTGAAACAACAAGAAGACGAGAGTATGAGATTGCACTTTTGTCTAAATGATTGGTGTTGTATACAGTTCAAAAGATAAGTATATGTCTTGAAACAGTAATCTTACCGAAGATTTGGTTTCTGGGATTGTATCATGTGAAAATTTGCATTTATCTCCCTGCAAAAGATGAAAAACAATTGCCATCAGCGTCACGCAAACAATTTGAAAATTCGAAAGACATGCAAAATCCAAAGTCATTGTGCATACCTCATGGCACCGTCCCTTGATATAGTGTCGACAATATTTTATAGGCTTTGGTTTTGGAGCTACTGGTTTAAGTTTCAGCTTTTTCACGCCAAGGGCTATACGCTCTTGAGCTCTTTTCTTCCTAGCATTTGCCTGCATGAAATAGCTTATCAATAAGTAAACATCTTAATCCACACAAGCAAAACTGATTGCAAGATAAACCCATGAAATGTCAAAGAGAAGCATATACTACATTACCCTCTTTCTAGCTTTTGCGTCTTTAGAAGGCCCAGACCTTTTTTTAATGGAGGTTTCAGGATCGATCTGCATATAGGAAGTTAAATACGAATCAGACTTTATAAACACCTAAGCAGCATAATAACATTCCGTTCTTTTATATTGGATACCTTTGCTTCATTACTGAAAGTTTGATCACTCTTCTTGGCTCGATTATCTACATTTGATACCTCAACACCAAGCTTTTTTCCAAAAGTCTCATGACTTATCAGATGGCTGTTACCAATCCCTTCTTGTGAGACATGAGACTCTTCATGCCTTTCAACTGGTTCATCATCTCCTACAAGCATATAATCATTATCATCCCCAGATAACTCTCCTTCTTCTACATCATCATCTTCAACTATTTGAGGCAAGGAATCTACCAAAACCTGAGTACTGTTAACAGTTTTCTCCAATTCCATCTCTCTTTGGTCTCTTTCATTACAAGCTTCCAAAACTCCAGAACTTATAATTTCATTCGATTCAACTGATTTAGGAACCTCCTCTCCCTTTTTATCACTTTCAACTGGATCTATTTGAACTTCAATGGAAATATTAGGCTTCTCCACGACATTTTGGACACTATCAAGTGGCTGTTTAGCGATATCATCCAGTGATGCAACCACACCATCACCATAGTCATTGACATCCAATGCCCCAAAGAGATTCACACAACTTTCTGGAACAAATTCTCCACTTCCATTTATCATAAGCTCAAAGTCATCGAAAAAATCTTTGTGTTGACTACCAACAGTTGCATCTTGCAAATCAATTCCATCAAAAACATCTCCAAGCATCAAACTTTTTTCCTCTGAAATTGTTTCCACCTTCTCACATCTTGAATCACCAGACGACACTTCGCTGGATTTTGAATCCACCATTGATGAATCCTCCGGCAGTTTGCAAACTTCCTCCGGAGACACTTGAGCAATTTCTTTGTAAGAAAAGAAAAAATAGCATCAGAAAATAGGCTCATATGATTCAAACTACACTAAATTGAGATTTAGATTAATAGTTTCTGGCAAAATCAAGCAACAGATCAAATTCGAATTTTGATTACTAGAAGATGAAATTAACCATTCCTACGAACGTTCGATTCGAATCAAACACTAACCTGTTCTTGATACCAGCTCCTGCAGAACGGCCGGTGTGGCAAGAGAAACCCGAGGCTCTCGATCGAAACTCGAGCAGAGATGATGAAGCAAAGAGCGATAAGTACGATTCGGCAGATGCCTGCGTCGGTGAGGAAACGTAGCGACGGAAGATTCCATTGTATCCGCCAGTAAACAATCTAAACCGGTGACACTACGGTCACTTTCGTCTCGCCGGAGAAGAGGCCGTCTTGTGGGCTGTGGCGGTGAACAATTTATAAAAATATTTTTTTAATGATGAACAGACACCGTCTCTTATCATTTAACGGCACCGTGAAAGTTTTGACTTTTTGATTCGTAAGGCTAAAAGCCCAATAGGTAAACGTCTTTAACGGCGTCACACGACAGAAGATTTATATTCATTAGGCCCAACAGCTTCGTAGGCCCAACAGCTCTACGTCTTTCTAGTGAATATACTTCAGCAAACGGCGTCGTGTTAAAGATCCAAACCCTAAAGATTTATCGATTGAAGAGTTTTTCGAATCCAAAAATTGAAATCTCACTCTCTCTATCTGAACTCTCTCTTGGTCAGCTTTGATTAGATCATTTCGGTCTTTCGGTAGCAAGGGAGGAGGAGAAACATGGTTGTGCGGATCAGATTATCGAGATTCGGATGCAAAAATCGGCCATTTTTTCGGGTTATGGCGGCAGATAGCAGATCCCCTAGAGACGGGAAGCACCTTGAGGTTTTGGGTTACTTCAATCCTTTGCCAGGTGATTGAGAAACAAAATGTATTCTTTGTGGTGTGATTGCGTGAAGTTGATGTTTTGATATCTTCATGTGGTTTTTTTTTTTTATATACTTACCATTTCTCAAAATGTGTGTGCAGGCCAGGACGGTGGTAAGAGGATGGGTCTGAAGTTCGATCGAATTAAGTATGTTTTCTTATCCAATTTCTTATATTTATCCTGTCAAATGAAGTATCTTTTGGGTTGAATGTACACAGGAAGAGGTCTCTGAAGGCTTCACTAGTTGATTTAGGCTAGTTTTGGGTATTATTAGAGTTGAAAAGTTTTGGTTAATTGCTAAAGTTAGCTCTCGATGTTATCAGTCAGCGGTTTGCTTATTAGCTGCCTCTAGAAATCTTAGTGCATTGTTATCTAGTCACCATTGTGTTATAGTTAACTCTCTTTTGATCTAATAGAACTGAGTTGAGTTAAGTCTTGTTTGGATTTTTTTTCATCGAAAGGGGAATGCATGTACATGTTTACCAAGGTTGCTGTGAATCAATTTCTTAATCTTCATGCTTTTTAACCGCTAGTTCAAGCAATTTTGTACCTCATTTAGTTCCAAAGAGTCTGTAATCTTTTAGAAGAAGAAACGCTTATATCTTTTGTGGCAATATATCAAACAGGTTTTAGTGTATAACTTCTTCTCCTAGTTCTCCAATTGCTTACTATACAACCTCGTTTGATAAGTCTATGATCAGGTAGTATTAGAATCATTTATGTTTAAGTTTATGACGTCTGGATTGCAGCAGAACTCAGGCCAAGATTACTTAGAACCTGCACGTAAAATCAAATTTCCTGTTCTGAATGGGTGGTTTCAACAAATGATGCATGTAGTATTTGACTGATGGAGATTTTGTTCGGGATTATGTGATTTCTTTACAGGTACTGGTTATCTGTTGGTGCTCAGCCATCGGACCCGGTTCAGCGTCTCCTATTCAGATCCGGTCTACTTCCTCCTCCGCCAATGTTGGCTATGGGACGTAAAGGTGGACCAAGAGACAATCGCCCGGTTGATCCAATGACTGGTCGCTATGTGGATGCAGAGAAGAAACCAGTTACTGATAACCAGCCTAAGGAAGAGGAAGACAAGAGTGCATGATTCATTAGCCTTTTTCGTCGTCGTAGCTTTTAAGTTCACTTTGTTGCCGATCATAACTTGTGACTGTAATACACACCTTGGGCTTGTTCCTTTGTTTGGCAATAAACGGCAAAGTGTTTAGAAGCCTTTTGCAAAACCGGCACATATTTTGCATTCGGATATTAAGTTTTACCGTATGTTTTTGGTCATTTATTTATACAGTTGGAGTTTAATTTTATTATTAATTTTCATATTTTCCAACAAGTTTAAGCATATTCGATGGAAATTTAAGAACCTTTTTCCTGTTAATATGAAAAAGTTATAAAAAAAAATGCCAGCGAGGGAAATTAAAAAAAAATGGCAGTTGTTAGGTTATAGTGTATAAAGGAGGAAGCCACGTTTTGCGTTTAGTCGCCACCACTCTCAAAACCCTTAAGTCTTCCTTGCTTCTTCTTCTTCTTCTTCTTCCTCAATCTCTCCACCACTTTTCAAACCACACTCTCTCTCAATCAAATCCTCTTTCTTCCTTTCAAATTTGATCTCCAAATTTCCAGAAGATGAGCAACGATAAGGCAGACAATTTCAATGTCAGCGATCTCACTGCTGGTAATTTTATTTCTCCGGGATTTTTTCTTTTCTTTTTTTTTTTTGCTTCTTCTTGGTCAAAAGTTTTTAGAAGCTTTATCTATTTGCTATTTTGCAGCTCTTAAAGATGAGGATCGAGCAGGTCTTGTCAACGCTCTTAAGGTTAGTTTTCTCTTTATTGCATTATACTTAGAAGAGGAATATGGGGTTTTTCGTTTTCGAATGTTTCTGCGTTTAGGAGAATAGCTTCGTGCTGTTACAGTATCTGTTTTGTAATTCTTATGTGTTTGATTTTTCACAGAACAAGCTGCAGAATCTAGCTGGTCAGCATTCTGATGTGCTCGAGAATCTGACTCCTAAAATCAGAAGACGTGTTGAGGTCTTACGGGAGATTCAGGTTTGGAGAAAATTTTCAAATTTGTGAGCTTGATGTTTTAGGATGCAGATTTATATGGTATCTTTTGAATGTATGTTTGTTTGCTTTTGATTATATGAGAATCTTGTGCAGTCAAGAGTGATGAATGTGGAGTTCGTTAAAGTAATGTGCATCCTTTTGATGATTATCTGAGAATTCTTTTGTGTTTAGGGAAAACATGATGAAATAGAGTCGAAATTCCGGGAGGAAAGAGCTGCTCTTGAAGCCAAGTATCAAAAGTTATATCAGCCTTTGTATACTAAGGTAAATTGGTTGTGAGAAGATCACATTAGGATGTGGTTACTTTATCTAAATCAAAACCATTTTCTCCAGATGAAGATTTTTTGTTATTTGCAGCTGTGTTGGTTATATTTATTTATGTTTTTTTCTCTTAAAATCTTGCTTTAACACCTGGAATGTGCAGCGTTATGAGATTGTGAATGGAGCTACTGACGTTGAAGGGGCTCCTGAAGATGCTAAGATGGACCAAGGAGATGAGAAAACTGCAGAAGGTATTTTCTCTCTCTTTGCCTTTGTGAAGTGTAATCATTTTTCGAAAACCATTTGTTTATTTCACTGTGTTGGATTGCAGAGAAAGGAGTTCCTAGTTTCTGGTTGACCGCCCTGAAAAACAACGATGTTATATCTGAGGAGGTTGGTGTTGAAGCTATTGTTGTTCATTTAGACCTACTCATATCCATGGAAATGACCAGAGTTTTTATTTACTTTGATATCAGATCACAGAGCGTGATGAAGGGGCCCTTATATATCTTAAAGATATTAAGTGGTGCAAAATTGAAGAACCAAAGGGATTCAAACTTGAGTTTTTCTTCGATCAGAATCCTTACTTCAAAAACACCCTATTAACGAAGGCATATCATATGATCGATGAAGATGAGCCTCTTCTTGAGAAGGCTATTGGGTAAATATCGATACTTACTTGTATTGTTCTGAGATGCTTCCAAGGAACTGCATAATCTTGTGCTGACCTATGCTCCGACTTTGGTTCTGTTTCTTTGTTCTTTCTCTCAGGACAGAGATTGATTGGTATCCTGGAAAATGCTTAACTCAGAAGATTCTTAAGAAGAAGCCTAAGAAAGGTGCAAAGAATGCCAAGCCAATTACCAAGACTGAAGACTGTGAAAGCTTCTTCAACTTCTTCAATCCTCCCCAAGTTCCTGATGATGACGAAGACATTGATGAGGACAGAGTATGATATCATTTGATTCCAAGATATGCCTTGTTTTGACAATGTTTTGATCAAAATTTGTTCTAATGCTTTCTGTTCTTTGTGCAGGCTGAGGAGCTTCAGAATCTGATGGAACAAGATTATGACATTGGGTTCGTCTTCTTGAATATAAACTCTGTCAATCTAATACATTTCCGTTTATCTTTTTACCAACTGTATAATAGCGTCGGCTAGCATCAGAGTTTATACATTTTTTAAATATCTGAATCAAGAATTCCTTGCTACCTGCAGTTCTACAATCCGGGAGAAGATTATACCTCATGCTGTCTCATGGTTTACTGGTGAGGCTATTGAGGGAGAGGAGTTTGAAATAGACAATGACGATGAAGATGATATTGATGAAGACGAAGATGAGGATGAAGAAGATGATGAGGATGACGAAGAAGAAGACGATGATGAAGATGAGGAGGAAGAAGTAAGCAAGACCAAAAAGAAGGTACTGAATTATATCTTCTTGTCATGAACTGAATTACCTGTTTTGAGTTTAGTTACTAATTTTTTGAAATTGTGTTAAATGTCTATGCAGCCATCAGTCTTACACAAGGTACATAGCCAATTTCCTCCCTTCTCATAGTATTTGCGCAAGTTAAGTATATAGTTTCTGTTAAATAAACTGACACCAATGGATCATAGAATAGTCATGAACACTATTGACATTTTTAGGCTCGACCATGATCACAACATGACCCATAAATTAGAAGATAGCTGAAAGTGAACTGATCAAGTTCATTATGCAGGAATCAGTATATCATAGAAACTTGAACACTTATATTGACTAAAGCTGAGTGATAAGTAGACAGAATTATAAATGAAGCTTCGTAGAATCATACTCATGCATATGTATAAAGCTTTATGCTAAATCTGTTAATTGCAAAACATTGTGCTATGTATGTTTGTGATAATGGGATAGATTCATATATTCTCCTTAAAAATGAAATTGCAGAAAGGAGGGAGACCCCAACTTAACGATGGGCAACAAGGCGAGAGACCTCCTGAATGCAAGCAACAGTAAACAAAGTCGTTAAATTGAAAATGAAAATGAAAATGTTTTGGGTTGAGTGAAGTTTTATGGCTTAGTTTTTTGGTATTTTGCTTCCATGTAAGGCAAATGTTTTTAAGTATCGCTCAAAGGAGTTTCGCTGTAGGCAAAGAGTGAGCTCGCTCTCATGAGGAGATGTGATCAACTATTTTTTGTGTTTTTATTTTTCTTTTTGTTGAAATCACTAAGTTAAATTTTGGTGTGTTCGTTAATTATATCCTTTTACGGTTTTACCACTTGAATTAAGTCACTTTTTGTTTCAGAATATTTAATTTTTAGAAAATAAACGTTAAAGTAATTGATTTTTGGTAACATGTTTTGAAAACTACTATATAAGTAGTTTCAGAATTCTTAAATTTATATTTAAAAAAAATATATAGAAGGAAAGAGTTACATCGTATTTTAGAATCTTATTCAATTGACTATTAGTATTCAATATGGTCAAAGTCAAATTAATTACACAACGTGGCTATTCGCATTAGTGAGTGTTTCTTCACCTTAATAAATCGACTAATTGAGTGATTTAATTTTTAAATAGTAAAAAAAAAATATAGTTATAGACTTATAGTTGATTATGACTCCAAATGGCACCAACTAATTATTCTATACCAAACAACGATATTTAGTGATTAATGATTTGCTATAATACAATTCTCCAAAACTGACCACAAGGATTGTAAAGCTTTATTTGTTTATCAGTTAAATACTAATACAATTAAGTAATACTAATGAATCATTTCGACATTACCCACCGTTTAGGTAATCTATCTATTGGCTACAAATATATGTCATGCACTATTGCATTGGCATGTTGAAAATAATACTCCAATTTACAAGATGTTTGTTAATATTATTATTAAGGAAATTCCCAACATACTGTAATTGTAAACCATAATCCAAATATCCTGATTAAAAATATTGTTAAAATAGGTGTCTTGTATCTCAAGTTTTAAAATGATGGCTTTTCATTCATATCATTACTCTTTTAACAGCACGAATTAACCAAAAAATTAAGGCATGTAGGGTTTCATCGAAAAATGTTTTGTAATAATACTAATAGCCTATAAAGTTATGTTCCCTCAAAAGACACAACCTAACGAAATAATCACTGAAACAGTTGAAAGTTGAAAGTATGTAACAGTTAAAAATTCAAGAATCAATCATTCTATTTTGGAAAATGTATATATAGTCAAAATATCCAATCAATGGATTACTAATAGAAACAGGCTCGCGTGGAAAATTCAGCATTTTACTTGGATATCATTCAAATTCCAACCTTTAAAAAGAAACTGACATTACATAAACTATATATATATATATGTCAGATTAGTGATACAAAACAATTAATATATAATAGTTATGTTAACGAATAAAGAAATAGTAAACAGCTATTTTATAATAGAAAAGATCTTTCATAGAGTGTACATGTAAACCCGCATCATTATATTTTTCATGTAGCATATATGTTTGCAATTAACAAAAACAAAATGCCTTAAATGTAATTTAAAGTGCATTAAATAACCGTATATATAATAGTGAGTGGATTCATAACGATGAAAGTGATATAGTTAATACAATGTTTCAAGACATTTTTAACTAAGCTTTTGAGCTCTCACTTTAATTAGTCCAATATTCTTTTCATCATTAAGTTATCTAGAAGCATAATCTTCAAAGTTTCACGTGTTTTTAGCCTACTCTAATACATACACTAAGAGTTTCTCAATATATAATATCATTAAAATGTTACTAAATATATTATGTTAGCTGAGTTCAGAGAAAACAATAGTGAAAAGTAGCTTTACGAGATAGTACTACGGGAAAGGGTTGTTCCCTAGCTAGAAGGTTCTTCTTTAACCTTAATTGGGTCAATACTGCCGTCTTCCAAAAATCTCAAGTTCTGAATATTCTGCAGACTGCCCCAACCTTTTGGTTTGTGACACTTAGACCCACACTCGATTTTATTTTTATAAAGCAAGATGTTTTCTAAGTATTCATCATACTTATAAAACGATAGATCGGATATTTTATAGTAGTAGTTTTTCAATAACGTGCGTTATCTAACTATTAAAGTATGTTTTCCTTTTTATAAAGGTTTTTGACCTTAATTAATGTGACTATCAATAGATTGTTTAGCAAACAAAAACCATTGGTATGTAGTGTGTTATGTATGTATCCAAGCTTTTTGAATATTCATTTTCTTTCATGTCCTTGTCGTTTGGTTTTTCCATTTAATTTAGCAAGAAAAGTTCAGTCAATTTGGGCGACATAAGAAATTTAAACTTAGCCACACGAATTTAGGAAAGATTATTATGTCTATATATCTGACTCAATTTTTTCATATTTTTTTTAGATTATAGCAGGATGGCTAAAATCTACTACAAATTGAATTATTACTACGAGATTACACGATCCATTAAGAACAAATATTTAAAGAAAATTTAGACTAATACACTTAATTATTTCAAAGAAAGAAAAAGTTGTTGATATAGAAGGACGATTATCACTACATATTACAAAATTACGAAAATAAATAACTAACAAAATTATAGAAACAAATAACTTTCACATCCCTACTATAGTAAAAGAGAAGTACAAATGCTTCTTGGGTCGGGTTTAAAAAAAAAATTAACCCGGATTTTTTCAGTTGGATCTTACTAAAAATTAAGGATATTAAATACCAGTTTCCATATATATTATTTCAAATCTACTAAATTAAATCATCAATATCGGTTTGGGAAAGTACATTAATCTTAATTTGTTTAAGGAAAATACATTAATGTATGATTTTGTATATTGGTTTAACAAATTAACCTAAAAATCAGAAATATAAATTAAATATAAAATAATCATTATCAAATTATCCATGATATTTCAAAACAAAATCTTCCTTAAATATCCTATATTGATATTTGGATGTATAGTTTTCTCCTATATTAACTATGATTTTCACACCAGTTACGGGATATTTCATTTTCAACCATCTTTAATATATATATTTTTTTTGTCTATGACCATCTTTAATATTTATTTGGCAATAGTTTCGAATTTCTGGCTTGATTATAAAACTAATATTTTTTCAATTTAACCCTGAGAAAATATGATCTATATAAATAAGTTTTTGCTACCGGAAAATTGTAACATCAACACAGATTACACTTTAACACGATAAGAAATAAGAAAACATTGGCTCTTTATTTGTTTATTTTAGAGATTTGCAACTTTACAAAACTGCATGAAAGGTTCAAGTTAAAATCATGTATTTATGATTATGCGGTGTAGCGTGGGTCAATCCCTAAATTTTAAAAATGATTCATTGTATAATATTTTTTTTTCATTGTATAATATTTATACATGTATATATGTCACATATTGTTCTAAAATTAACAATCCAACTAAAATCATACAATTTAAATAATTTTGAACATATTCGAAACCAACACATACAATCTAAAAATGATAAAATTTAATTACTGATCAAAAGAAAGTAAAGAAAACACAAATAAAATTATCTCGCAACGTACAAAGACTAAAAACCCGGTAATTTTCCCCCGCGCTATAGCGCGGGTCCGGACCTAGTTTGTTTACAAAATAGCGAGCGATGAATGGCTGAAAAGAATTCCACAAAACAAGAGAAAGACCATCGACAGCGATAGGAGCCGCCACACGCCATAGTTATTAAAATCGTCTGTCCATAAAATAACTTAAATCCTTTTAAAAAATTTAAAACTAATTTTTGTAAGTGCAAAAAGAGGAGAATAAAAATCATAGTTATAAAGTATATATATAGTTAGGAAATAATCAAACTTGTTGTCAGTGAGCCAAGTCAGCAACAACCCTTCTGACTGCTTCTTGGAAGGCTGATTCGTCCCATTCACCCTACAATATAATAAATCATTCCAAAAACTTTAATAAACCTTTATTTTTAGTCAAGACCAAACTAGTGGTTATCTACTTATCTTATCTTATCAAATAATTATTTTCACTCTAGCAAATTTTATTTATGTAAGAAATGTATATATATACCTAACCAATAAATTAGAAAAAGTACCTAAACTCTCAAATAATGTGCTTCCTTAACCGAAACCAAATTAAATGAAGATGTTACTTTACCTCAATAATCTTGAGCCTTAAGCTCACAAGAACAATTGAACTATCGCCATCTGCTCTAGCTTGAGTCTGAGCTTCGATTGATGCTAAGCTGACATTGTTGATTTGCTTCAAGAATTCGAGAAGTCTTATCATCAAATCTTCAACCCTAATGATGTCTCCTCTTAGAACAACTCTTAGATCCAAAATCCTTTCTCTAGATGTTGATTCGGGTACATGCCTTATACGAACGTTAAACCTCTCATCGGGTTGTAAATCGTTTTCAATCTCTTTTTCTCCGGCTAGCTTTGCCTCTAGCTCCCGATTTCTCTCTAGTAGTTTTGAAATCCCTCCTTGCAAAGAGGATAGTTGCTCTCTTGCTACGGTGAGGACCGATGCTTTATCTTTCTGTTCACAAATATTTAGTCATAACATTAGCTTCACTTTATCATGGTCAAGTCTTATATAACATATACTGTATATGAAATATATACTAACAATGTGTTATTTAAATATATTAATTATAACTTATACTGAAAATAAAAAATCATGTCGAACGTGTTTATAAAAGAATAATTAAACTTATCAAATTTAGAATATATTAATGAGCTGAATTCATATTATTTATGGAACTTTATAATTCATGAAAAAATACTCTATCACATGCATATATATATTCACATACCTTAGTTCCCGGAGGAAGGAGAGATCTCAATGCTTGAAAGCTCTCATTAAGCTTCTCTCGCCGTTTCCTCTCCGATATCATATGGTGCAACTGCGTTGCCGATGGTCCGCTTGTATAACGTCCACCGCCGCCACTTCCGCTACTTCCATCGCCGCCGGTAGTAGCATTTTCCCTAGCTAAACGCTCTCTCCGGTGAATGTTAAGCCTACTGTAAAAAGAAACCGCTCTTTTCATCATGCCTTGCTTCAGCACACTAGACTGCGGCGGTCCTCTACCTCCGCCACTAATCGTGCAGTGATATCTCTTGAAAGCGGTGGCTCTTCCTTTACGTAGCGGCGAGGAAGAGGTAGACGGAGGACTTGATGGTCCTGGTCCTGGTCCTGGTCCCGTTAAAACCGCTAAGATAGCTTGTGTCATTGCTTCTTCCTCACGTTGGCGGTTACGGAACAAAGGCTCTTGTTGCTGTAGTTGGTGGTGGATCATGTTGGTCGGAGCTAACAGTGGATGTACCGGAACGTTAACGGCGTCAGTGGTCGTCGAAGGTTTAGGGATGAGTGGGAATAAAAGAGAGGAGTATTCGGAGATGTTGTTGGGACTAAGAGAAGAAGAAGATGAAGACGGATGAGGCGGTGGCCGGAGATGGTCGACGGAGTTGACCGGAGAAGAGTTTCTATTGAAATCTTCAGGGAACCATTCTCGAAGACTTGCTTCTATCTTCATCTGTCCTTGAGTCAATGTAACTTTATATTATATAGAGGACGAGTGAGAGAGACAATTTAAAAACATAAATTTTAAAAACCTCCAAGTAATTAATAAATGCTTATGGTTGTATTTTAATAAATGCTTATGGTTGTATTAAAATATATAGAAAAGATTCATACATTTGTAGCATCATAGGTCATTCCGAGTTCGATCTCGCCGCTCCGGCAACCCATGAATATCACCGTCTGATCATATATAATACACATTTACAATATTAAATTTTCCATGTCTTAGTTACATTTCGTTTGAAATTAATTATACTAAGAAAATGAAAATAGTGTACCTGAATCTTGGCTTCCTGAGACCAATATAATGAAACGAGATGAAATATTGATTATTAGTGAATACGTAATCATAACTGATCAGTTTGATAAAAGAAAAACAAATTGGTGTTTATAATAGTGATCATTGTAATAATTTTAGTGACCTGATAGAAGAGACGTTGTGCGTCGTTATAAGCAAGTCTTTGAATCTCTTGTTGTGGAATCTCTACGTATGGAAGATTGTTCATGATCGCCATGCTTGGTACATGCCTGAAATACATTTTGTGATTAATTATGATAAAACTCTTATCATTATTCAAGAACGTACGTAAACAGTAACACTGTGCGTATTTTATACCCATTTTGGAGAGGGATAACGGATTGGCGATACTCAAGGAACAAGCTTCTAGCTAAACCTCCAGAAGAAGAAGAAGAAGGTTCTTCAGAAGCTTCATTGTAATATCCATCCATTGCAATCAGATAGCTGCAGCTCAAAATCAAATGCATGATCATGTGATTAATTAATATATAAAAGAAAGACTTATATATTGTAGAGAATGAACATAAATGTGCAAATAGTATAATGTGTGTTAGTATTTCAAGATCGAAAATGAAGAAGATATATATGATTATTACTTAGAAGGTCGAGGAAAATAGTAAGACCAAAGACAAACATAAACGCATCTGAAAGCTTGAGCTAGCGACCCGACTAACTGTTTTCGGGTATTCGGATCATCCATTAAGAAGAATGCGTCCATGTCACACGTACAAAAGATTTTGAGAATTGGAGAAGAATAAGAAGAAGAAGAAGAAACGATTAGAGCTTCATGGCTTAGCTTCTGTGATAACGAGAGAGAAGGAGAAGTGGAGGGAGGGAGGGAAAATTATTCGTCCCAAGTTTTAATTTTCTATTCAAAAAAATAATAAAGAAAAATTATAAAAAGTGGAGAAAAGTAAAGGAGAAGATGTCTCAGAAAGAGAGAGAGAGAGTCAAAGTCAAATGGTCAAGAGAGGATGGCAAATTCCAATTATTTTATTATTTTTATTTTTATTTTTTATATTATTTTTATTTGTTCTCATAAAATTATGTATAGTATATGTTGCGTTACTTAATAAAAACAAAAAAAAAAACTTGACGAGCGATTATAATCTAATACTTTATTTTTTGTTAATAGGAATATTATCAGTACATGTACATCTTTAACTGATGATTATAGTTACGTTAGAATTATATATAGTTTACTATTTTGAAAATAATGTTAAGGTAACTAGTAGTAAAATTATTATCAGAAATCCAGAAAATTCTGATATATCCACTTCAAAAATTCAGATAGTTAATTAATCATTTTAACTTTAGAATCGAATCCGAGTAATGAAATCTTGGTTACGCGTACGTCAAATACTTGATGTAGACTTGAATTTATTAATTACCAATCCATCAATTAAAATATATATATAAATGTTTCATATTTTATCACTCTTTTGAAATACATAGAATGATATTATTTCTCTGAATTTTCTAGCTTTAACTTATAAAATATTATTATATAAATATTTAAATTTGTTTGAAGATGTTTACATAGGATTGCATATATTATGTGAAAGACACATAATATTATATATATACCTGATCATTTATGAAACCACTGAAAAAAAAAGACTCAGTTCTATATATTTGTCTATTGTTGAAGAATCTTTATACTATTACCATAAAAAGTATAATCATGTGATTTTTATGTAGTTCATTTCCCATTCTCATACCTTTATTTGCTTATATATAATTGTTGTTCCAAGATTCCATTTTTTTTTTTTTTTTTTTTTTTTTTTTTTTTTTTTTTTGTTCCAAGATTCCGTGTTACATCGCCTCTAGAACTATCTTTCTGAATAATTTTATTACTAGATATAATGTGTCACCTAATATAGTAGAGCTGTAGAGAAATCACCACCTTCCAGAACTATTTACCAACTTTTTCTTTCTCAACCTGTTCATAAGGTTAGGTAGGTTTACCATTTTTAGTTATGTCCAGCAAAAAATCAAATCCTGTTTTCGAACACAAAAAGACGATAGCGACTAAACAATTATTGTAATTGTTATAACTTCAAACTTTGAAAAAAAAAAAAAAAAACACTTTCTTACAAGTTAGGCTTTTCTCAATATCGAATCCAATGAAGGAAACAGCAAGACAGTTCTGATTTTGTTTTCTATCATTTACATGAGAGGAAGTTTTATGTGTCTGTCAAAGAAAACATTGAAAAGTATGTGACCCAACAAGGAAAAAAAATATGATTCGTATGCAGGGACCATAACATATTTTGAAGTTATGAGCAATGAAATTGGACATATATTAGATTGTGGTTCATATCATTTGCAATTTATAGACTAATCATGTGTACGTAAGGCAAAAAAACAAAACTGATGGAACGTTTTCACTACCACATTTGGTTGGAGAGGAGTCGTTTGGACGAATATATAATTCTATAGTACACATTTAGATTGTGTACGACCACAAAAATGCTTTGGGCAACTTGTATCAATTATATTAATTTCCTAATACGAAAATCTAGAGAATTTTTTTCTTAAACGAGTAAATTAAATGCAGGTTTCGTCTCACGTTTCTAATCTTCACACTGTCAAGTTCACATCATGACGAGAAGGACTCGTTCATCTCATGCACTTGGACTTTGACACACCAATATCACATTGGTTCATATTGGCAACGTACATGTACATGACTACATGAGCCAATATCTAGCTTCATAAATTTTTATTGTTCCAAAAATAGATGTCACGATAAGTTTTCTTTTTTTTTTTTTTTTTTTTTTTTTGTCGACAGATAAGTTTTCTTATAAATAAACATGTTTTCCTTGCATTAACTCTTGACTTGCCATACAGTTTCGTCAATTACAAATATTTTCGTACGGATCAATTAACTAATTAAATATAATGTTGATAAAACATAAAAATGAATTCACGCGTTCGAATTAGTCTATTTTGGAACTTTCACCATATTATTATAATTTTCTTAAATTATATATCTAAGAAAGTATAACGGATTATATAAAATAAAGTTTTAAATTGAAATATTGAAGAAGACACGGTCAGCTGCTTGACTATGGACTATGGTGAGTCTATGACACTGCCACTTTGCCACTTGCTTGGCTTTCTTTCGTTTTACATCCCTTATAGTGAACAGCATGTCGTTAACATTGAGAAAAACAACACGTAGTGTACTCCGAGGCCTAAAGCTCGACGTTTGATATTTGGGCTAAACTTCAGAGGCCCAATGGACTTAAAATTCCCAGGTCCCCTTTTTCTTTTATTTATTTTCCGCCTTTATTATTCTAGTTTTAGTCTTTTGACATTTCCTACGATTTTAGTTTTAACAATTTAATTCGAGATGAACTCGAATTAACACTACTATCATTCAGTTAATTAACAACTGTAGACTAGACTGTAGTAACTTAAAATAGCTTTAAATTAATATTCATAATTTCAGTAATACATAGTACTTTGTATTCTACTGACTTCACTTAGCAAGTTAGCATGATGGGTCATCATATAGCTAATAATTTTTGAAAAACAATTCTATATTTTTGTGAAACAAAATAAAAACCCACAGCATGTTACTTAAACAGAGATTTAAATCGTATGTTAAGTGTTTTCCGTACTTTTTCACATTTAGTCTTATTTCATTTAGGTATACTATAATATGTGGGATGTTAATTACAAGGGATAAGATATACAAGGGGATCTCATGAACCAAATCTGTAGTAATGATGCAATGAGATTTTGTAAGGAATAAAAAGGTAAGAAGAAGAGATTTTGCACTATAACATAATTAGGTAGCATATCTCTAAATGTTTCAACTTTTTCACATAATAATATACACTTTCAATGGTATAAGTATACCTGTATAAGTATATATATATATACATTATAGTATTTTTAAAGTAGATATTGGAGATTCCTACGGATAACAAAGCTAACGGCTGCAACTTTCATCATATGCTTTCTACTTTTCACGACCGTTTTGTCGTTTTCTTGGTTTTACTTGATAGTATAATGGAATAATTCATACTAATGATTTTTTTTTTAAATGGACTAATGTATTAATAATTTAATGTGATTTAAAATTATAACAGAAGAATGCGCCTATAATAGAAGAATATATTTTTATCGAATTATTTTACAAAGCAAAAGGATATAAAATGGATTAATATAAATATATAATCACGCAAATAGATGAACGTAATGTAAATTATTATATTTTCTAAACCAAACCACAAGCTATGTAAATATGATTAATTTTAGACACAAAACAATTGAAACCAAAATAAACATCCGAAGGTAAAAAAAAAAAAGAAAATAGAGAATAAAAAATGATACGTGGACTTCGTTCGACCAAGATCTTCAAAGTACACAAAAATATAGTTTTAAAATTAAGCCGAATAATAAAAAAAAAAAAAAAAACAAAAAGAAAAGGTGGCAGGAAGTGTAGGTATGTCTCCTTCTTTCCCGCAGACTGTAACAAAAAGGTTTTGGAGACATTTCTCAGACATAATTATTTGTTATTCCTTTACTTAAAAATTGTAGTCTATATATGTATGTGAAAATTTTCTTTACGATAAAGATTGTTTTCACATTTACACTTACTTTCGCATCTCATGATCATGTCCTTTACCTTTCCTATCAATTTCCACTTTTCTAGTTACTAACATAATGCTTTTATTTCATGTTCTTATCATAACCAAAATCTTCCACCGAAATATATCATATTTTTTATAATCAAAATTACAAAGAAAAGCATATTTACAAAGTGATGAGATTAACTGACGAACAATATAACTAATTAATTAGTCTAACTCAAGTTTATTTATTGAAATATATTTTGCCCCGGGGATAATATCATTTTGGGATCGTACTTATCTTTTCTCTCTACGAAAACATTCCACCTCGGACCAAAATGTCTAACCCATCCTTCTTGTGATGAATGATAAGGCAGATATTGTATAGCCTTCATATTAGCATCCTCACAAAACTTCAGTATTTCCATATTTTCTCTATCGTAAGCCTCCCAATTGTCGAAATCCGCAGATCGCAAAAATCCAACCGCATAAAACACATCTTCTTCGGGTATAGCGGCCGACATCCTATCATCCCACCTGACACAAAAAAAGACCGTGAAAATTAGTTACTAAAAAATACAAATTTGGATTTGTGAATGTGGGATGACAAAATATGTCATTATATCAAAACTTACTTGTTGCGGTTCATAGGATAAACAAGAACGGGACCGCTAGTGATGTTATTTCTTAGGACAATACCCTTGAAAACACCATGATCGAATTTCGATATTTGAGACTTTGGTACGAAAAGATTAAGCCATGGATGTGGAACGTCCCATTGGCCTTTGGATTTGAGGCTTAGCTCTCCGGTTCGAACACGGTTTAAGAAATCTATATACGTCACGTCTTTCTCGTACATAAACCCTTTTACATAGTTCAAACTCTCGCTTAACTCCTCCATCTCCTGCATGATTTAAATAAATCTAATTTAATAATGACAATAGTCTACTTTAATTATTTGCTTGATTAAAGATCTCCCAATTATACATGTATTTGTGTGATTCATGATATGTACGGACCTCGTTGACTGTGTATTGAGAAGTTTCGTCGTAATACTTGACGACTTCGAGGCAGTAGATGACACGATGTCGTTTGACCATTGAGACGATCCTCAAGTGATCGGACGGTGGAT